TCTAAAAACAATCGCTGTTGCTGTTCATACTTCAAAGCAGAAAGACGTGCGGTCTGATAGGTATCTGCAGCCGAGTGATGCAACACATGCTTCTTCGCTTCTTCAGGCAGACTACGCAAAAGGATCACAAGCATGTCCCCGTCACCTATGCTCAGGCCTTGCCTGTCCAAATGCGATGGCAGTGTTCCTAAAAGCTTCGAAAAACGTGCTACCTCAATGTCAAGCTTCCGGATCACATCTCCTACAACCGTTGCTGCACTCATTTCACTGCTCTTCATTGAGAAGATGCGTCCCAACAGCTCAGATCTCATGGACAACGCTTCTGCTCTTGATCTCAAAGAAAACTGTTGACCAAGCTGACGCAACAACTCAAAACCACATGAAGTGTTTCCTAGAAATCTCACGGGATCGGCGACAGAGTTATCAAGCGGCAACCCTTCACCAAACGCTTGTATCATGAGCATTGCGCGCGCGTGCCCCGCAAAAGCAGTTCTCAAGATCCCGAACAGCCTCACTGATCTCACCTTCTGATCTTCAGACAACGTCTGCTGCCAAATGACTTCAGGCCACTTCACAGCACAAGAGATCTCTTCAGCAAACGTCATGCTGGCCAATGCTGCCCACGACTGAAGGGCAACAATGTAGTCGGAAAACCCAGCAATCTCTACTTCCCTAGAGGTCCACTTCTCAACACCGGCACTTGGCGGTTGACCTAGCCACTTGTCCGCCCTAGAAAAGACGTCTCGGTTCTCAAAGCTCTGCTGGTTCACTTGTGGCAACTGGTAAGCCTGACAAGGCAACACCCCTGTAGGTGCTCCTGGAGCAAACTGACCCTGACGAGCATCAGGATGCACAGGCCTTTCACCAAACCGCTCGGGAACACCCCTAGCTTGATACATCAGCTGTTCATTCAGCACCGTCTGCGCTGCTTGCGCCTGCTGAGGCGACATACGCGAGATAAGCACTTGCATCTCTCTCAAGAGATCACTTTGAACTGCACCCTGCTGCTGAACACCAACTTGAGCACTGCACGCGTTGCAAGGAACTTGGTTCACAACTCCAGGCTGCGGTGGCACCGGCACGTGATTTCTAAACGACTCTCCAAGACTCGAGATATCACTTCCTGTGCCCTGCCCGACCACACCTGACGCTTGTCTCTGCACTCCAAGCAAAGGCTGCTGAGGTCTCGCTTGCTGCTGCTGCTGTCGAAGCTGCTGCTGTTGCAAAAAAGCACTCCACGGATCCACCTCCTCCCCTCCCTTACCTGCTCCCTTCAGACCTTGCTCAAGTCTGTTCGGCGAGCCAGGATAGCTCTGCATAACTTCGCGTCACACAAGCTAGTTCTCAGGGCTAAGGCGGAGGAGCGTCGGCTCCGCTACCATGTAGAAACTTACAAACACTAGCACAGCTCGCACTCGCACAGCCTGCACAGCACTTTCGCACTCACAAGAGAGGTGTCGTGACTGTCTTTGCACTACAGCTGGTCTTCACACTTAGCTGCTTCACAGCTCGCTTCTTCACTTAGCTGCTTCACAGCTCGCTTCTTCACTTAGCTGCTTCACAGCTCTTGAGCACTGCAGTCGAAACGCAGCCCACTGCTTGAAACTCTTCAGTGCTACAAACTCGCATCTAAAAAACTCGCATCGTGGCAAAAACATGCTCATGTCTTCACATGCACCACAACTGCACATCGTTTGGAGAAAAAACAAAACGTCGTTCCAAAGGTCATGCCATCATGCAATGCAAAAGGTTGCTCATGCACTGCAAAAGCTGATTCTATGCTGTCATACCGCAAGTAGTGTTACATATTTTCACAGATAATGTATCGAACCCACCGCCACCCAACCTGGGCGCAAGTTTGAAGAGAAGGTCGTCGCTTGCCTGAATCCATCCGCCTCCGCAGTGGCAGAGTCCAGGACCTGACGCCTGTGGAGCTGCAGCTTTGCTATGATGAATGCCGGGAAGATCCCGAGGTGGCCCGGCCCAGTCTCCAAAGACCTCTCGATCGTTGTAGTTCAGGAGCTGCGGTTAGGCTTTTGTTTTTTTGAAGGTGCGCAGTGCTTGGTCCCAAGCTGGAGGGAGAACAGCATCATGATGCCGGGACCCCGGCCTTTGCTTTTGGGTGGCTGTCAAAATCAAGTCTTTTTGGGTGCTCTGAACATTTGGTGCCGTGTTATCACAAATAAGGACCTGCAAAGGGATCATGATTTTGACCACCGCCCAATTGGTTGGCTTCCTGAAAGCCGACTTCCTGCTTCTTCTTGTTTCTTATCCAATCATTTCTTGTACTGATTGCACTGTAGTTTCTTTCATGGTATTCTTTATGTTTGACAGGAGCCCGGCCTCGTCAGGATCCCGAACCTTAGAATCACTTTACACAAAAAGGCAAATAATGAATAAAAGCATAGCAGCATATCTATATATATATATATATATATATATATATATCTAGGGATCCGGAATTGGATTCCTTCCGGAGCATTTGGATAAGGTGATGAGTCTCCTTTTGCTGCTCCGGCAGATGAGTTGTACCTGCAGTAGTAACCAAGTGATTCGCATCTGTTCTTATATGTATGGGAACTGTCTCTGAACTGTCTCTGATGGAAGATCTGCCCAGAGTCCTTTGAGAAACAGACAGGTACCAAAGCAACGCATGAGTGCGTTTAGCTCAGCCACTGTTGTTGACATTGTTGTGGTTGTAATCTTGTGAGATTCGTAATCAACCAAACTGCCTCTTAAGGATGTTTCCTTTATAGAGGACTCAGAAAAATCATTCTTCTTGGAAGAAGCTGCGGCGGCCGACTGTTTCATTCCCTGAAGCTTCGGATTACGATCTTCAGCAAGAAAAATGACATGTGCTCTTTGTGAAGATTTGTCATCATTGTTCCTGTAGGAAGCATCAGGGTAACCTAGAATTCTTAGGTTTCCTCTAAGCGGCCAGAAGCGCAATTCTCCCTCAGTAGGCTTAAGAATGCGAACAAGTTTGTTCAGTTCTCGAACATCACCAATGGTAGGCTTAGCAGCCTTGCTCGCGCACCTACTGAAACGGTAACAAATGTGTGCTTGGGTCCGACTTTGTAACCAATTAATCTGACCAAGTACACTTCGGTACGCAGTGTGCTGCTGTGGGGCGCATGGCTGCTCATTTGTGAGCTTCTTATCAAAGACAATATCTTCTAAGGCCTCAACAGCCAGATTTTGGTTCACTGATATATGCGCTGGTGTCGATGCTGTTGCATCCTTCCACACCAGTCTCTGTCCTACAAACATGGTATCGTTTGTATCTTCTGAACCAACGGCAAACTGCTTTTTGATCGAATCAATGACGGCCTTACGAAAGGTGTCATCACCGGCCATGTACAAGTCATCTACGTGCAAACAGACTACTCCATGAACCTCTCTGCCTTTGGCATTATTGCCGGCAATAGGGTCAAGCAGATAACTATTGCAGACTCCATGGACTTGGGTTCTGATTTCTTAAGTACAGCCTCTGCTGTTGCAGACTTTTTACCGTAAAGAACGTATGTACAACGGTCGGCTCTTGTTGGAACAAGACCGTAAGACAAGAGAGCCTTGTCAACGATGTTCCACCATCTGCGAGGTGCATCATTAAGTCCATAAGCGGGCTTCTTCATCTAGGCATGAGGCAAACGTGTCACAAAATTCATAGGTGTCATAGGGATAAACTTGCGACAGCTTGGTTTTGAGACCGTAGCCTTGAATACCCGTATCACTCTTTGGAGAGGAATCTGGAGATTGCGACTTTTTGTAGGTCCTATGGATAGGTGTTAATACATTCGGCGATAAATTGTGCATAAAAACAGCCGATGAGGATTGATAGTATCCCGTTGGGTCCTTCATGCCATAGGCCTGCAAATTGCATACTTCATAGCTAACCTTTGGGTTAGAGAGCATGCGTTTGGCCTCTGACGTTGACCAGAATCGACTGTAGTACGGATTCTCGAGGACAAAATATCGTCCTAATTTCATCTGGTGATCCGCAATCGACTCACAAAACTTGAGGATGGCAAGTCGTTTGCCGAAACCTTTCTTCCATTGGGAGTACCAGCCGGACCATTGAGAGTGGTCAGGAGACATCACAATGATGGTAGGCTCTTGTTCCTTGATAATTCTCTAAAAATCTTTGAACGACCTTGGGGCTGTTCAAGGTCTAAACCACTGCGCAGATCAATGGGCTGACCTACACTCAATCCTGAGATAGCAGCCTTGTGACTCATGCGTGGTGATCCCCCGTAAAGCTCAAGGAAATCAATTTTTCCTGTACTTGTCACTTGCCAGTGACATTCGTGATGAGGAACTGACAGATCTGCTGAAGTCAAAGATGCATCAAAGGTGACCATACAACTGGCATGGTCAGAGCTTTCAGACATCAGTGTGTCTTCTGCTGGAGCCAATGGAACATCGACGTCCGATGTAACGTCATAGTTTTTCCTCAGTTTTGAGATATTCACACGAATAATGCGTGTTCCCAAATCGACACCTACCATGGAACCTCCGAGATCGGAGACTACCTTTCCTTTCAACCAATGTCCTTGTTTTGATCCTGTCGATCCAATTTGGATGTGTCAACAGACCAGTAGTAAACCTTGTCTCCTAAGGAAAAGGGTCCATCTGACATAGACAATCAGGAAGCAAGGTCTCTCCGAAGATCATCAGATTGTCGTGCTTCTTGATAGGCCTTGTTGGCAAGCTCTCTTATGGCTCTCGCAGTGACCTCAGTATCAGTAGGATTAGAGTCCGGGGGGCTGTGGGAGTGCACTTCTTCCACAAATCCAAGCATCGTATTGTCGAGCCACCTGATGACCCGCGATAATATGATATAGGCATACACACGGACACACATACGCAAAAAGTTAACTTGGTGTGCACACATATATACCAAGGTATGAGTACACAACCGACGTTCTTTCTTTCTCATTCGCAAGCTGTTATGTCGTTGCCACAAAAGCTCAAACATTCTTGTTAGGTTTTCTCGTTTCATGCAGCTGAAGCCATGTCGGATTTTCGTGGCGATCATATACCAGGTTTGGTTCGTGAACTTGGAGGGCGGGATGGCGCACTTACATTCGATGAGGCTATCATGCACACCACCGGTCAAGGGCTGAAACTCAAAGGCCCCGAAACCAGGCCCTTGTCCTCCATCCGTGATGCAGGTGACGTGAATGTAGGTGATCTACCAGTTCGTTTCCTTGATTCGATCTCGGGCAAGGTAGAACAGTTTTGTGATGCCATCCAACATGCCAAAGTTGATGTCACATCGGATTTCTTCGAGTCCAAACTCGTCAAAGAGTGCATGACGTGCAATTACAAAGGCTTGCCGGAACCCTTTCGTCTTCGTCAAGAACCGCAGGTGTCGTACACTATGCAGCTAATCATCCTTCCTGCTACACCTCCCGAGGGTGAGGATCCTAACTCCAAGTATGTGCACATCTTGAAGCACGTCTACTTGCAGCGGAACAAGATCAACGCCAGTGAAGCCATTAAGATGTGCTATGGCATCTCCATGCGGTTTGAGTGGGGGACGCACACACGCCAAGCGTTGATCGGCCTCACGTACATGTTGGACAAGATGGGGCGGGATGCAGATTCGGAATTGGGTGATACAACCCAAATTTGAAAAGAAGCTCACGGTAGACCAGACTGCAAGGGATGCAGGCTATCGTTTCAACCAATTCATGGAATGGACAGACAATCAGATCCACGCCCCCGGCAGTCCCATTGAGAATTGGTCAGAGTCTAAGGTCATCACGGCACTGCAAAACCATATGAGGGGACGTCAGAACGCAAAAACTCTTGAATACTGGCCCTTTACTTTCAAGAGCCTCGTACCTTGGTTTTTTGATGAGATCCTTGTCCCAATGCTAGGGTCCATCAGACAGCATTCGATTACCTGGATTGGCAAGACCAGAACAGGTAAATCTTTGGCTTCAAAGGTCGTAGCGTTCTGTCAATCCAAGTATGAGATAGATGCATCACAGCGCGAAGATTTGGTTCCTTCCATCGTGACCGCAAGAAGAACTTCCTCCGAAGGAGGACGGATTTTTATTCTCAAGTCTTGTTTTTCAACAACTTGGTTTTTCCAACCTTGGTTGTTTTCCATCCTTTTTCATGCTGAACTTTTGCCAAGCTCTGTTTTCCAGTTGCCTTTTCGGCTTCAGTTCGCTTTTCGAGTGAGGCCTCTAGAGTCCCGTCGCTTCTTTCTAGCGAGGTTCGAGCTGCTAACTTCAAGGCTTTAGCTTCGTGCACGGTGCCCCCCGAAGGGGCGCCAGATGGGAACGAGGCCTCTTGACTTGCCTCTCTCTGAGCCCTCCAGTGCCAGCAGTTCCTCTGGCTCCGCCTGGGAAGCAATAAGCTCACATCTCCACTCTCTTCAGCTTGAATGCAACATTGTGGAGAGTAGGGTGCGAGTGCTTGAAGATCGTTTGGAGCTCCTGGAAACTCAGGCACAACAAACTCAGGCACGGGTCAGCTTGTTGGAAAACTTCTTGCGCCTGCTCAGGCTTTGCTGCCGTAGGCTGGCCTAGGAAGGCATCTTTTGCAGAAAACTTTGCAACATGCAGCCTCAGTCTCTTTCTGCTGGGGGCTCCTCGACTTCAGCTTCATCATCAGGCCCAGGGGCTCGCTCTAACCTTCTTAAGAGCATCGATCGTATGCTGCTTGAGTCCAGACACAGTGTCGCTGGCTCCAGTGATCTGGAGCTGCCCTGGGAGTCAGGCATTCTTAAGGAGATATTCTGCCCGGAGCATGCTGCCCCAAGCATTCCGTCAGTGAAATTTCCTTTTGATATTCCCATTTCTTCAGCTTCGAGCCTGGGTGAAGCGGAGAAGCTCGCAAAGCCGGAGCCTCGATCCTGCAGCTTCTTCAAAGCCGTTTCTCAAAAGGTCAGAGTGGTGAAGGCTCCGATCAGCCCTCTTGATAAACGCGAGCTGCTTTGCCAGAGGTTCCATGTGTTGCTTTCGCACTCTTATTCGGGTTCTAGGCTAGGGGGGATACTTGCCAAGGAGTCTTTTGAGAAGGGAACGCAACTTGTCTCGGATGCACTTGGGGGTAAAGCCCTGTCTACCCTCCAGAAAAGGTACGGGCAATTATCCAAGTACGTCACTTGGTGCAACGACACAGGATGCATAGGCTTCCCCCTTTCTTCGGATCTTGTTCGGCAATACACCGAGTTTGCAGTGAAGACCAAAGGGCATGGATCAGTGTCCAGCAACCTTGAGTCTTTCAACTTTGCGATCTATGTCCTTGGTGTTTTCATTAATGAGCCTCTCCGGTCTGACCCGGTCCTGACAGGACGTGCTCGTCGCGAGAGATTGAACAAGCCTCCCAGGAAGCAGGCTCGCTCGTTTCTCGTTGCAGAAGTGCTTCACCTCGAGGGTTTCCTTGCATCCGAATCCAATGCTCTTTTGGACCGGTTTGCCGCTGGTTGCATGCTCTTTGCGATTTTCTCCAGGGCGAGGTTAGGCGACTTGAAGTCCGTGTCAAGGTTCACGCTTGACCTTGCAGAGCCATCTGCAGACTGCGCCGAAGGGTTTTTGGAGTGTTACTCTTATAGCCATAAGACTAAGTCTCTTAGCAATGCGCTCGGCTTCAGGTTGCCTCTTGTGGCTCACGTTAAAGGACTGGGGCCTCGCATCTGGGGGCTTGACTTCTTGGAGGTTGCACGGCAAGTGGATCAAGACCTTCTTCAGAAGGACGATGGTTCCGCGCTGTTGTGTGTGCCCACGTCTGTGGGCTCCTTGCTCAACCATCCAATCAAGAATGAAGCCTTTGTGGTGTGGATCAATGGCATCCTTAAGGATCTCCCCTTCTTCGGAGGTCACTTCACCGGCCACACAGCAAAGTCTACCTTACTTCCTTGGTTGTCCAAATGGGGCGGCTCTGAGGATGACAGGGCCATTCTTGGGCATCACATGCCTAAGAGCAAAAGCGTAGCCACTTACAGCAGAGATCTTCAGGCTGGGCCTTTGAGAGTGCTGTGGTCTCTTCTATGTGACGTTCGGTCTGGAGCTTTCCTTCCTGATTGCACACGCTCTGGCCGCTTTGTCCGTCAAGTCGATGATCCAGGAGTGGAGCCGGCCCTTGATGCTCTTCCTGGTTTCTCTGATGGGGCCCTCAGCCCTGACCTCTACCTCGGCGCCTTAGGTGAGGTCCAAGAGCCTGTGAGCTTGGGCAGCGAGGTTGGCCCTGATGAGGAGTTGGCGTGGTACCGCAACCAAGAGCTGGAGGATGCCGACGTCGATGCTTTCATCAACGCGAGCCGTGGCAGTGAGCTTGAGCCCCGGGGTCTCTCAGACCCTCCGCCCGAAACGGGGGCTTCTGACGATCCCCATGCGGAGGGGGACCGAGATGGCAGTGGTTCAGACTCTGAATCGAGCTCGAGTTCCAGCTCTTCTTCGAGCTCTACAAGTGCTGATGAAAAGGTCCAGGCAGCAAGCGACTTAGCATGCAGATTGAGGCATCACGTCGTGGAGGGATGCAAGCTTTACCAGCATTGCAGGACAAAGACTGTGCATCGCATGCTTGAAAACTCGAGCGATGATAAGTTTGTCTGTGGCAGGCCTCTCACCAAAGACCATCGCCCCTTCAGGACCTTGGTCAAGATCACCGCTTGGGATTGCAAGCAATGCGCTCAGAGAAAGCCGATTAGCAACACCGGCGCCCTTGTCGGTGCGCTTGATGCTGCCTTGGGCAAGCGTTGACATCTCAGTGCGCTGGGCCTTCGGCGTCAAGAAAATTCTTTTAACGTGCTGTGCTAACTTTCCTTCAGAAGGAAAATGGCAATGTGTTGGGCACCTCTCTGCCTAAACCTGACGCGCCTTGTCGGCTGCTGAGAAAAGAAATCGTGTCTGGGTTTGTCACTCATCTGCCTCCGCTTGCTGACTGTTGCGCGCGGCTTTCCGCCGCTTCCACTGACCGGTGCGACTTCATGGTCGGGTTTGTCACCCTTCTTCTTGTGCGAAGTATTACTCCACTTGAATCTTGAAGAGATCTTCTTATGAGCGGCTTCCCGCTGCATGGGTTTGACACCCATCTTTCAGAAGCTCGGGAGTTGCTTCCGGGAGTTGCTTCTAAAGTGCGTGGCTTTCCGCCACTTCCTCTTCGGAGCATGGGTTTGTCACCCATTACTCGGGAGCAGTCTCGAGAGTTGCTGCTGATTTGTGTGGCTTTTCGCCACTTCCTCTTCGGAGCCATCGCATCGTTCACGAAGCTTGGGCTCTAGGATCGTGTAGTATCAGCCATGTCCCTGCTGAAATCTGAGGCGGCATTTGAAGAACTTGCCACGGAATGTGGCCTTTCAAGTGCACAGCTGCTGATCCTGAAAGGGAAAGGTGTCTCGACGATGTCGTCATTGGCCTATGCTGTCACCACCCCGGGTGTGCAGCCTACGGAGCTTGCCCTTCGTCAGCTTTTGGATACTGCCACTCCTGAAGCTGTTTCAGTTGGTGCCTTATCATCCATTCGACGCTGTGTGTTTGAGTGTCAGACTTGTGTTGTGCAGCAACTTAAGCTCTCAGTCGAAGGGCATGAGGGAGACAAGAAGTACGACCTCCCGCCTGCTGAACGCACCAGCCGCATTGCCGCTCAAAAGACCAGGCTTGTCGGTTTTGAGTTAACCGGCGCGATGGAGTGCGCATACTCCTGCTACACTCTTGTGGGCTCCATGCTTGAAGCCGACTCGCCAATATACTTGGAGCCCCATAGGTTCATCACCAGGCAACAGGAGGTTTGCAGAGAAAAGCCCAAGCGTGAGATCGTGCTCGATGGGGGCACCAAGCTCACTGTTCGTGATCAGCAGAGTCGTGATCGTTGCCAGATCACCAATGAACTTCAGCTCTGGCAGGCTCTTACACGTCGGAGCTTAGCCTGTGACCTTATGGGTGCCATCAGCTTCCAGGTGCAAGAATCTTGGCACCGCTTTCTGTTCGATCGCATGGCTCAGCCTCCCCCTCCGAGGTGCAGCAAAGTTTCCATGGAGCAATTGTTGAGGGCTGATCGTCAGGCTTGGGTTCAGTTGGCTGAGACGGTTAAGACGCTTAAGAGGGATAGTGCTGGCGTGTTGCCTCTTGATGCTGCCTTCCCGGGTCTTCGCACTGACCCTGCTGTCCTGTTCAACCTCCTTCCTTTGAGGTCGCCTGATCCTCCTCAGAAGATCCCGAATCCGGATAAGGGCAATGGTAAGGGCCTTGATAAAGGTATCAAGAGGGACTCTGAAGGCCAGCCTCGCAAAGAGTCCCAGCTTCCTGATGCCCTCAAGAACATTCCAAACCTTAAGAAGAAGACCTCGAAAGGCAAGCGACTTTGTTGGGCATACAACATCAAAGACAGGGGGTGCAGCCATGCTGAGGCTGGCAAAGCTTGTCGCTTCGGTCTTCACTTGTGCATGCGCTGCGAGAAGCCTCACCCCCAGTTCGAATGCCCTGCAGCTTCTGCTTCTTGACTCTCACGCGAGTCCGGGGAGACCTGCACTGACGAGGCACCTCAGGTACCGGCTCCTTGTGCAAGCTCCCCTATCCCCATCTTAGATGACATTTTTCCTTTGCTGCCTGACAAGGTTGATGCTTCTGCCGAGGTTAAACATCCGGCCGAGGAATTTTCGCTGGGTGTATTGACATCTGGCACCGCTCCTTCGCGCAAGGACGTTTTGCATCTTTCCACACTTCTTCCCTCTTCCCTTTGATGCTCCTCAGCCTTCTCGGGATTTAGGTAGTGCCGGTCAATCGTGGACCACGGGTCTGTACACCAAAGGTGGTATCACGGCCCTTCGATCTAATGTAAAATCCTTTCCATTTTCGTCTTCTCTGCTTTTTGCTTTCATCAGAACCATCAGTCCTTCCTTCGAGTGCACCAGTGCTGCTCTCTTTGTCGACTCGCAGACAGCCCTGCATCGCGACAGCTACAACGCGCACCTTCCCAATCTGTTGATTGGGGTCAACTCCTTCTCAGGTGGCCAACTTTGGCTTGAGGGAGAGGGACCTCATCCAGTGACCGATCCTTCAGGTGCCCAACTTCATGGACAGCTGCACGAGGTCTCCCTCAGTCATCTCACTTTCGATGCTTGGAAACACAGACACTGCACAATGCCTTTTTTGGGGTCTCGCGTAGTGGTAGTCGGGTTCTCGGTTGCTAGACACGAGTCGATGCCTCTGGCTTGTCGCAGTGCTCTTGTATCCTTGGGTGTGCCCTTGCCTTCCATTGAGTGTGGTACCGATGGTGCTCCTGTGCTGGAGCCTCTTCCGCCAACTGTGCAACCCTTCTTGGACAGAGTTAAACTGCGTATCTCTAACCGTCCCTCGAGTGACCTAGCATTCCTTGAAATCTTTGCCAGGCATGGTGGTGTGTGTGCGGCTGTGCGCAGCCTCGGCATGCAAGGCTTTGCAATCAATCGTCATCCCCGAAACACTCGGGCTCCTGTTGTTCCGTTGGATCTTTCCACTGACAGCGGCATTTCGCTTTTGCGAGACATCCTTTCGAAGGATAATGTTGTTGCTGTGCACATGTCACCTCCTTCCAACTTCAGTGACCTTGCAGTAAGCATTTACACGGAATGTTGCGCCAATGGTCTTCTTTGTTGCCTTGACGCCCCGTGCAGCTCCAACCTTTGGAAACTTCGTGACCTCCGGGGTGCCTGTCCGCAAATCTCCACCCACTACAGTCCTTGCTTCGTGCACGACGGGCTGTGTCAGCATAGGCGCCTGCTTCACAACTTCCCTGCACTGTCAAGCCTTAGCTTTCCGTGTGGAGGGGGATGCAAACCACCAAATCCGGCGTTGCCTTTGTCTTCGTCCCCTGGTCAGCTTTGTGCCATGGTAGCAAGGGCCTTTGCTGTTGAATTGCAACACCAGGGTGCTCGGTTTCCAGCAGCAGAACTTCAGGAGCTTGGGCTCCCGTTGGCACGAGCCGCTCAGGTTGCCTCCGGAAAGCAACCCAAAGGCAAACGTGTTCCGCCTTTGGTCTCTGAGTACAAGTCCATCATCACGGTCACTGGCCCTTCTTGTGCTATGCCCCCGAAGCAACTCTCGGAAGATTGGGCCATTCCTGATAAAGTCTTGTGCAAGCCCTCCTTAAAGCGGCTACCCAAGACCGCCAAGCTGATTCGCACTGTGCCGTCTGCTGGGGGTCCCTGCAGTGCTACTCGACAACTTGGTTCTGATAATTCGGGTTTAGCCCCTTCTGATAGTTCGGGTTTAGCCCCTTCCTCCCCTGTGGACGACTCCTTAAAACCTGGCGCCCTGCTTGATGCCTGTTCGAAGCCTGGCGATGGCCACTCTCTTGGCGCAGCCCCGCATGAGGAGCGAACTTATGGTATCGCGTGGACCCCAGAAGAGTTCGTCAAACAGGCTCGCGGAGCTCTACACCCCAGGCGTATCGAAAATGGTGTGCCAAAGATTTTAAAAGAGACCATTGTGCGATGCGCCCAGGAGTCACCTGCCGACCTTGCCAGGGAACGCACTGCTACGTTGAGGAGGTGGATGCTTACCTCCGAGGAGGCGGCATCCCGTGCAGATCCCTCCGACATGCCCGACCACTGTGCCGCAGTTCTTGGTAAGAAATCTATGAAGGTCTTCAAATCGCTCCTGACTGAGGCCGAGTACCCGGACACAACCTTGACCAAGGACATCTCAACTGGGTTTAACCTTCTAGGCCCCATACCCGCATCTGGAGTCCTTCCCTCTAAGGTTTCCGCTGCCTCGCTTACCGTTGAGGATGTTCGTGCAGCCACTCCCCTTGCCAGGAAGGCCATCCTTGCCTCTACCAGAGAAGGTTTCGACCGCGAGGTGGCTGAAAGTGTTTACCAGCTCACGAAAGATGAGCTTGCGAAAGGGTGGCTTAAAGGACCTTTTAAGGAATCGGACATCCCCCCGGATGCCATAGTCACTAGAAGGTTTGGGATAGTGCAATCCTCCACCGATGCCAAGCTAGGGTCAATCAAGAAGGTGAGACCAATCGATGATTACACGGAATCTCTTGCTAATCTCACAAACAGTGCTAGCGAGACGATCTGCCCTCACGGGGTGGACGTTGTTGTCGCAGCATTGTGCCTTCGCATCAGGTCGGCCCGGAAACTTGGCAAGCGCGAGCAACTTGTTCTTAGGACGATAGACCTTAGAAAGGCCTATAAGCAACTTCCTTTAAGCACTGAAGCTTTGTATGATTCTTTCATAGCTGTGCTTAACCCTCACAGCATGGAAATTGAAATATACCAGACAGTTGTGCTGCCCTTCGGCAGCAAGCCGGCCGTTCAGGGATTCTACAGAACTGCCTTCGGCCTTTGGTGGATCGGAGTCCGGAGCCTGATCCTGCCATGGTCTCTGTATTTTGACGATTTCGTCTTACCCTGCTCGTCCGACGAGCAAAAACATCTTGACTTAGTCCAGTCAACATTTTTCAGGATCGTTGCCTGGGAAACGTCCTCCGAAAAAGACAGTGGTTTTGATGCAGTAGCCAAAGTCTTAGGAGTGCAAATATCCTTGGCTGATTCTAAGAATGGATTGATCTCAGTCCAGAACACCGAGGCCCGCAAACGCGAACTCTGCTCATCCATCGATGAGGTCCTGACCCGAGGCTTTGTTGGCCAAAATGAGCTTCTCTCTCTACGAGGGCGACTCCTGTTCGCCGAGAGTCAAATCTTTGGACGATCAGCTTCGCTTCACATGCGCAACCTTTCGCACTTCTGTCAAAAGCACGGCAGACTTGTGGTTGGTGCTAGCTTAAGGGCCTCCTTGACTTTCTTGAGGGACCGTGTAGTTCTTGGCAAACCAAGGTGTGTAGACTCGAGTCTTCGACAAGTGTATCACGTGTACACTGACGCTTCCTACGACGATCAAGGGGGTGGCCTTGGTGGTTTGGTTTACGACTTTAAGGGTCTGTGCCTTGCCTGGTTTAGTGAAGTAGTCACCTCCAAGGACCTTGAGATCATCAACCCTGATGGTAAACTTACCTTGATCTACGAGCTAGAAACCCTTGCCGCGGTCTTGGGTGCCACCCTAATCCCTAACCTGCGCCACTGTGACATTGTGCTCTTCGTTGACAACGAAGCTTCACTGGCGGCTCTCATCCGAGGACAATCCGATTGCCCTTTCGTGCAGTCTCTTCTCTCCCGCCTCTTTCAGGCTGAAGAAGAGCGTGATCTTGCGATCTGGTTCGAGCGTGTTCGCAGTGAAAGCAATCCTGCAGATGCCCCTTCGCGGGGCGACCACAGTTTTCCCGCCTTTTCCAGGCGGCGCTTCAATGTGCAATCCTTGCTGACCGATCTTTGCGGTTCTCTTCAAGGGGGGGCCTCGCAAGGTACCGATCTGTCAGCTCCCACTGCGAGTTAAAACGAAGACTGTGTCCGAGTGTTGCCTGCCGCATTTGATTATCAATTCGCAAATATATTTGTGATTGATTTTTCATATATCTCATTTATAAACAAGACGCAGAGAATAAGAAGAACTTCCTCCGAAGGAGGACGGATTTTTATTCTCAAGTCTTGTTTTTACAACTTGGTTTTTCCAACCTTGGTTGTTTTCCATCCTTTTTCATGCCGAACTTTTCCCCAAGCTCTTTTTCCAGTCGCCTTTTCGGCTTCAGTTCGCTTTTCGCCCACCCTCCTCACCCTTTGGCTTTTCGCCTTTTTCCTTTTGCCAGTTTCACTCCTTGTTCTTTATGGCCTAACCCTGCCGTTGGGCCTCGCAAGGTACCGATCTGTCAGCTCCCACTGCGAGTTAAAACGAAGACTGTGTCCGAGTGTTGCCTGCCGCATTTGATTATCAATTCGCAAATATATTTGTGATTGATTTTTCATATATCTCATTTATAAACAAGACGCAGAGAATAAAGCACTTGGATTTTTTCAAGGCAGAACCCTTGACCAAGTACAAGCCGGGCATCTTTGATGATGGGAACCTGCAGCGGATGGATGCATCCTTCCTGAAAGCTTTCTTGAACCCTTCGGAAACTTTTCTTCATGATTATTTTTGTTATTGTACATCAGAACAGGCTTCAAAATCAAGCCAACTAGCAATCGCACAATGGTCATGTAGTTCCTACATATTGGCATGCAAATGTTTCGCTTATTGGGCGGTCAGTCCCAGCATGTTCGTATGTGTTCCACAGTTAAATTCAACGGTGCAGTTGTTTCGCTTATTGGGGCGTGCAACCTCATGTGCTTCGACAATACATGTTGCTCTGCTTATTGGGGGGTCAACCCAGTACTGTTGGTATATACTCCACTGTCAAAATGAACTATAGAATTGTTTCGCTTATTGGGGCGTGCAACCTCATGTGTTTCAACAATACATGTTGCTTTGCTTATTGGGGGGTCAACCCAGTACTGTTGGTATATACTCCACCGTTAAAATGAACTATAGAATTGTTTCGCTTATTGGGGCGTGCAACCTCATGTGTTTCAATAATACATGTTGCTTTGCTTATTGGGGGTCAGTCCTAGTATATTCGTATGTGTTCCACAGTTAAATTCAACGGTGCAGTTGTTTCGCTTATTGGGGCGTGCAACCTCATGTGCTTCAACAATACATGTTGCTTTGCTTATTGGGGGGTCAACCCAGTACTGTTGGTATATACTTCACCGTTAAAATGAACTATAGAATTGTTTCGCTTATTGGGGCGTGCAACCTCATGTGTTTCAACAATACATGTTGCTTTGCTTATTGGGGGGTCAACCCAGTACTGTTGGTATATACTCCACCGTTAAAATGAACTATAGAATTGTTTTGCTTATTGGGGGGTCAGTCCAAGCATGTGTTCCATTGTTAAATTGAACTATACACTTGTTTTGCTTATTAGGGCGACAAACATACAAACATTTGAGGAAGAAGATGCAACGGTCTGGGCGCGGTATTCCTCTGCCTATTTTGAGCAGGGTGCAGGTAGACAAGCTTGCAACAACCCGTACAACCGTCAGATAGACGAGGAAGCGCACAAGAACATGAAGGCGTCGAACATTTGGGAAATTCCGCACAAGCAATTTCTGGAATTGATTCAGCCGTCATTTTCCAGCATCGATGAGGCTGAGGACATGGATGCGATACTCGCCCGTACACATGTCATTGTCATCACCGATCATGGCTTGTATTGGCGTTTGGCAAAGGTTGAAAAAACGAACATTCGCTTTGTTCAGTGGCCTTCTGATGAACCGCGTGACCTTCTCGTGCAATCCCAGAAGGCAATCTTCGTGAACTACAAGAAGAACCCCAGCAAACACCAACTCCCCGAAAGCTTCCACGAGGACATGGTTTGGTCGCAAGAAGTCTTGCATCGTCTATTCGAAGGTGAAACAACACCACGCACTGTGACTATTCGAGGAGTATCGTTGTTCGGCGAACCCCGGCCGCCACGACAAATTCACCCACGTATCGTAGACGGCATCGACCTCGGCGTTCGTGTGAAGAAGGAGAAGGTTGATACAGCTTTCCGTAATTTGAAGCGTTCCGCACCTATTACCATTGATCTCGCTTCTCCCGAAAAGAAACATCCATGCACATCGGGTGCCATATCCAAGGACGCGCCTTCCACATCATCGATGCCATCTCACCTAGAGCCATTGTCAACAAACGCAGCGCCTTCATCATCAGCACCCCCAAATCCCCCTTTCATGGGTGAGCACGAGGCCAATGATGAGGAACCCGATGATCTCGAGTTGCAGTTGGAGGAGATGGTAGATAAGCAGATGGCCGAGGAAGAGCATGATGCCATGGATGTTGAGGGGGGGGATTGCAAGCAGGAAGTCCTTCATGATGTATGTGGCGTACAAGTTCTTCAGTGGTTCGGCTTGCCAGTCCAAGCAAATACGCACGGTCCATTTCGCGTATCGGAGCTCAACGGCATGATCACCCAATTTGCAGTTCATTTTATGCCAATGTCTTCGGTGGCAGTGGCTGCAGACGGCATGTACTTGTGTCATCGTGACCATCACTTCACAGGTTTCCTAGATTCAAAAACATCACATGACATGCATTAATGCATACTGTGTTATATCGGAATACAACCTACTACTACATGTATACGGGTATCGTTGCATACGAAGGTGCACGTGTTCGTGGGGTTTCGTTCAGCGAGGCCTGTGGTGTCGTGAAGGAAATGTTCGCTACTTCGATGGCGGTGAGGAAACCATCATCAGTTTGGGTGATCTCGCTATGTTGGTGCAATCTCCGACCACAACAAAACGAAAATGACGGCTTCATTGGGGTTGTGTGACTTGTGCGGTGGTAGTGGAGGGGTAATGCGTCGCCCAGCAGCTCAAGTACAAGTCCGTGAAGTCACATGTCCTCTCAACACTTGCGTTATCGCCGGATGTGAAGGTACTTTGATCGACAAAGACCGCGTGATCCCAGCGATTCTCTACACCATGTCCGGTCCAGTTGAAATCGCACATCGGCCCAAACAGTGCACGTCGCGCAGTTGTCGAGCCACTTATGCCTACAACTTTCGGTGGGAAAACAGCAAAAAGGTGAACGTGCTCTCCCTCGAGGATCTTGACGAAAAGATGTTATTCGTTAGCTCCACGAAAGCATTTTGCTTGCAATATTTGCGCTACCATGAAGAACTTCTCTTTCGAGGACATGTGGCAACCAGGGCAATCGAGCATGCATACAACGTGGTTTTCAATAAGCAAGACACCCAAGATGACCAGAACGTGGTGTCCGATTTTCGAAAGCTACATCAAACATGCATGTTCTATCATCTTGCACTACAGGAATTTCAGACATTGGGTTTGCACAAGACGCTCGTGATTGACGATGAGTTCTCCGATGAGAGTCTAGATGTGTACTCTGCCTTTTGTCACTCCAGCCTTTATCCTCCAAAGAAAAAGACTTCGGTAACCTGTTTGGTCGGTGACGGGTATCTCTCCTTGAAGCCTCGTTGTGCTCATGCTCCCAAAAAGCATGCAGGTCGTCCCCGAAGCAAAAAATCAGTGCCTTCCAAGTACAGCAACGGTTGGTTCATGTGCTGCGACCCGAACAGCGGTCGCATCCTCAGCATGGTTGTGATGCATGAGCCCGAGTGTAACGAGTACGTGATCCAGGCACTGGAGTCCGTACTTTGGCTCTACCCCGCTTGCAAACACTTCGTGTACGACCGCGCCTGCACGCTTGTGAAAATGGCCCGTAAGCACAAGGCGCTCGACCAAATCAAGGATTACATAGTCGATTGGTTCCACGCGTACAGGCATGCGAAGTCGTGCACTTGCAATCCGCGACACTAGATTGAGACAAGTTTTGATATAAGTTTTTTTATTCGGAAATCCAAACAGTTTCAGACTTGTGTTTGTATCAGTAGATATTGGGATTCGTGTTGGAGGAACAGTAGCGAGTAAGGCCATCGGAAGAAGTTGGGGAAACTCGTCAAAGGCATCAACACCTCGATCTGTGAGCAGGTTTTCTCATGGTTCCGAAATTTCACAACCAACTTCAATGAGCTCAGGGGCAATCGGCATAAATTCATTATGCTGTACACAGCGAAGAGACACAATGAGGCAATCACGGCCAAGACTGCCTCGTACCTCCGGCCAGTCATCAAGAACTCCCACAAGTCGAAATCCTATGGTTGCAACATCAGCAAGAAGAGAAACATCATGAAGATCCAGAAAAAGAAGAAGACCATGAAGAAGTGAGCTTATAGCGGCTTATAGCGTCACACGTGCATGTAAGGATACCCAAATAACAGTCCAGATGGAACTCGGTAGTGTTTGTTTGATTGTGTGTGTATGGCATGGAGTCTGCACTCAACGTGACGCCGCTTAGTTTTGATGCGATTCGCACATCCAGAAACTTTCTCATGGTGTTGAGAACAAAAGGTGCTGATGTGCAAGTGTGCATCGCAGCTGTATCTCTCTTTGCTATCTAGTCCTACATGTTATCCATGCTCCGTTATGTCCCTGGGAGTGCGTATCTCGCGTGCTTTTCGCGCAAGAACCTTCTGACCAAAACCAAAAAAACCAAAAAAACCAAAAAAACAAAAAAACCAAACAAATCAAAAAAACCAAAAAAACCAAAAAAACCAAAAAAACCAATTGTCAGATACTCCTGGATTGAAATGCTCATGGCCGGAGAGTGTCGGATATTTGTTTATTTTTTTGGTTTTTTTGGTTTTTTGTTTTTTTTGGTTTTTTTGGTTTTTTTGGTTTTGGTCAGAAGATTCTTGCGCGGAAAGCCCGCGAAATGCGCACTCCCAGGGTCCCCCGTTCTGTAGGATTACCTGTCAACTGATTTGGGTCTGAGTTCTCGGGCGTTATGACATCTCGAGGACGTCTGCCAAATGCCATCTCAAGAGGAGTGACTCCTCCGTAAGTAACTGAGGAGTTTCTTGCCAAACAGGCTCGTCGCACTAAGTTACCATACTTCATCTTAATGCCGTTGAACTGTGGGTCACCATCCTTAAGAACCTGAAGTATGATTTTAACCTGATGTTTCAACAGTCGTACAGCTGCTTCCGCCTTGTTGGGCCACGGAGTTCCAGGACCTGTTGCGACAGGCTTAATATTCTGTCGATTGTAGTAGGCCTCCATTTGTGGAGTCATAAAGGCCTGATCTCCAACAACAACCTTAGGGTTGATCTGATATTTCTCAAAATAGTCATTCATGACTGACATTGTAGTTGGTTCTTCTTTATCTTGTACAACCTCAGATGTCCAGATTTTGGTTGCTCCGTCATAAAGGATGAGAAAAATGAGCCGGCTGTCCTTGTTGCCGGGAATTGACGGCTCTCCATGGTCTACAAAAGTTAGATCACCACAGGTATCAGATCTTAAACCTGACATTTTTGCTCTAGAAGGAGCTCTTTTATGTTCTTGACAAGTAGAACACTTCTTGACCAATTGGTCGTAAAGCTCATAAATTTCCTTCGGGATCTGAAGAGCTGTCGTTCTCCTTTTGAATTGGTCCAAATTCATATGACGGTGCTTCAGGTGAAGCTTATAGAGTTCGACCGGGTCCTTGAGCTTCTCGTGAATTCTGCGAAGATAACAACCTTTTACGGTAGCCAGAGACCCCTGTTTTACCTTGTGAGCTGTGTTTGCTAACAAGCAAGCAGAACGTTCGTGCACAACCGACTGAAGGCTCAAGGTTGCACAAAAGAGAGACCGCAAGTTTTGGTTTGGGTTTTTATGGTAGCGGAGCCTACCGATCCATTCCTTTGTGTCTGGACGAAAGGCTTTCGCTGCGGACGGGACCCAGATCCGCTGGTTGGTTAGGTGTGTGGTACGGCGGTCGTCTCTCAGGTCTTCCTGAGTGACTGAAAGCGAACAGGACCCTATCCGCAAGCGACTTTAGGGCCGTAGCCCCTGTGTTAGTGCCGAGCCTGCCTTTTGGCAGCATAGTTCCTCCTCCGCGCTGTGCTGCCAGCGCTTGGGCGGCTGACGTGTTAGCGTGGGCTGCAGGCTTTCTTGAGCCTTGGGCGGCTGCGGGATGTCTACGCCTGCAGCGGGAGCAGTTGGTGAAGCTCCTCAAACTCCTCAGGGGGGACAGCAGACTCCTCAAGGGGGACACCAGACTCCTCAGGGTGGACAGAGCCCTGCGGGAGCAAGTGGACAGCCTGGTCTCACAGGCGAGTTGGTTCTGAACCAGTTGGCGGCTGCTGTTGCGCAGCTGGCCCAAGCGACAGCTTCGAGCTCTGCGGGCTCGAGCCAGTGGAAGGAGACAAAGTATGTCAAGGCCCCGGACCTCTTCAAGGGTACCGCCAGGACTTTGTCAAGTGTGAGTCGGCGAGTGGCTTCATAAGCTTTGCTCAGTATGCCCCAGACGTGAAGGAGAGAGCTCTTCGGCTTTACTCGGTGTTAGCGAGCTATCTTCGAGGCCGTCCATTGAAGCTCCTTCGTGCCAACAAAAACGGAGATGGCTATGCAGTGTGGCGGCAGCTTTGTGATGAGCTGCAGCCTCGGTCCAGGCCTCGGGCTTTGGCTTTGGCGCAAGCGCTTTCGCGCTTCCCTCCTCACAAGGAGGGCACTTCTCTGCTGGAGTACATCCTCAGCTACGAGCGCCTGATTGGAGAGTATGAGGCGGTGGCGACCGAAAAGTACCAGGAGGATTTGAAGATCTCTACCCTCCTGGCTGGCCTCCCGGCGGAAGTCAAGCGCTACATGTACCTCCAGGTCAACGACTCAACGACCTATTTGGGCTTGCGCGAGAAATTGTTGCAGTATGAGAGGACTTCGTCGACTTGGACCGCGGAGAGCATGCTGAAGTCGCTTGGCAGTGGCTTCAACAGCGACGCGATGGACATTGACCGGGTGGCCGACGGCAAGGGCAAAGGCAAGAAAGGCGACAAGGGAGCCAAAGGAAAAGGAAGCAAAGGCGACTACAACAAGAAGGGTGACTACGGCAAGAAGGGCAACGACAAAGGCTGGAACCGTGATGGTGGCAAGGGCTATGGCAAAGGCCCGCCGAAAGGCGGCAAGGGCAAGAAGGGAGATGCAGGAAAGAAGGGCTTCCAGAAGAACCTCGTTGAGTGCTGGAAGTGCGGCAAGAAGGGACACTACGCTGCAGAATGCCGCTCCAGGGTGAACCAGGTGAACCAAGAGGATGACGCAGCCTCTGTGCAGACGAGGGCTACCACCTCTTCCGCGACAACGGCGAGTACGGCTGCTCCTTCGGCAAAGGCGCAGGTGAGGCGGGTTCACGTGGTGGACCTCGAACAACTCGGTGAGGACCAGGAGCTTGCCGTTGAGTTCTTGGGTTCGGTTCGCATGGTTCAAGAAGTGGACAACGAGGCTGGAGTGGAGCTTCCTTGCAGCAGTGTCCAGTGCTTTGCCATAGGAGGTGACAGTGAAGTTGATCAGCCTTTGGTCGTGGATTTTGCAGCAGATTGCACTGATGAGTTCCATGATGGTGTTGCTCATGTTCGTGTGGTTGCTGCTGACCCAAATTTGCATGAAGTCATCCTGGATAGTGGCGCCGATTGCACCGTCTTGCCCCTCAGCTCGTTTTCGGATGTAGGCCACCACAGTCGTGAGAGTTCGTTCTTGCTGGATGCGCAGGGCAACAGGATTCCTCAAGGTCAGGTTCGGACTTCTGTGGTTTTCGAGGTTGAGGGCGAGGACGGCGAGGTCATTCAGTTTCGTGACAAGGCAGTGCTAGCTCAAGTTCGGCAACCTTTGTTTTGCTTCGGAAAGTTGCTGCGTGACCAATGGGTGCCGAGCTGGATCCTCAGCAAGGCTGGCGCCTCAAGAAAGGTGATCGGTCTTTTGGAGTGCATTGGAGCAAGAACTCTCTTGCCACTTACATGCGCATCCTTAGGGTCGAAGGAGATGGCTCGCAGCATGCTTGCGCACCAGCGCCAGCCTCTCCAGAAGGATCGCCGGCCATGGAAATTAGGTTGGTGCTCGAGATCTCAGATGACCTGCAGGTTCACGCGCAGGCCCCAGGGTGGAGCCTGAACTCGCGCATGCAGCCAGTGCACATGGGAGTGAACATGGAAACAACTTTTGATGGCTCTGGGCGTTTCAGTTGTGCTGATTGGCCGTTTAGGACCACACTTCTTTGCCGAGGTGATCGTAAGTACGAGGTCTTTGAGTGTTGTGAAGTTTGGGAAGATCGTCTTGAGTTTGGGTTCGGTGCCTGTGAGAGCAAGGTGTTGACAATCCTTACGAAAGAAGCGATAGAGCCCAGTGACCTTGGTACAGTGCTTCAGCAAGATCCTGCTCCACGTGGTGAACGTTCCTTTGATGAGCCCGAAATACAACCTTTGCATTTCCCAGGTCCCGAACCCGCTGAAGCCGCTGACGAAGCAGACGCCGAAGCACCCGAGGAACCACGAGGAGATGATCAGGGCGGGGCTGTTGCAATGCTAGGCCCTTCTCCTGTTGAGGTTCTCGGGGATGATGAAGAAGTGTTGGTTGTGAACGGCGAGCGTTTGACAGAACTTAGCCCTCTTCGTGAACTTCGGCTTGGCTGTCGGTTTTTGGGTATCTCGAAGAACGGCTCAAAGTCCGCAGTGTGGCAGCGTTTGAAGAAGGAGGTAGCACACAGCAAGTTGCAGTTGGAGGTTGCAGCGTCTGAAGCCGTGAGAGCAGAGTTTTCTCGAGATCCCGTAATGCAAGCACGTCCTGTACCTCCTAGCCCCGAGCTTGTTGAATTACATGAAGTCACTCATCTCCCTCGAGCTGATTGGTGTGAAGCTTGCATCGCGGCCCGGAGTCGCGAAGACAACTATGACGCAGCAGGTCCCAAACGAGAGTTCCCGGTGATCTCCTTAGATTTCATGTTTGTGAAGACTGATGGTGAGGATGCCCCGCTTGCCACTCATTTGGTGTGTGTCGATTCGCAGTCTAAGTACGTTGTGGCGGTTGCGCTTGCTGCAAAAGGAGGCAAAACTTTGAAACATGCTGTCGAAGAGGTGGTTGGAATGCTGACTGTGCTTGGGTATGCCAAAGTGATCCTACGTTACGATACAGAACCAGCCATGAAACAGCTTGTTAGTTCGATTGTAGCTGTGCGTGCAAAGAACAATTTGGCTACTGAGCTACTGAGTTGGAACCAGTTGGTCCTGACTCCTCTGTGCACGGAGCACTTCGCTCTGAGCGCTACCACCAGACAGTCCGAAACCTCGGGAATTGCCTTCTGAAAGCAATAGAGCAGCGAACTGGCCACAAAGCTGAGACTTGGAGCCCTCTCCATTCTTGGGCTTATGTCCATGCAGCTTTCTTGGTGACGCGTTTTCATGTGCACAAGGACGGCTGCACGTCCCACGAGCTGGTCCACGGGCGCAAATATGACCAAAAGTTGTGCCCTTTTGGGTCTGCTGTGTATGCCCAGTACCTCCCGAAGAACAAGAACAAAGGCGAGACGTGGTGCCAAGGGGTTTGGCTTGGGAGATCAAGGATTGGAAATCTTCATGTGATCGGGGACAGCTCTGGTGTTCACTTTGCTCGGACCATTCGGAGGCCCCCGAAGTTGTATGACGTTGAGCTTTTGAAGACTATGAAAGGCACTCCTTATGACTTCTTGCTTGATGTTGTTCCTGTTCGGAAGAAGAAGATCGAGAAGCAACGACTACCAATCCTTGTGGAAGCTGTTGCTCCTGCTCCTTCGGCGCCTGAAGCAGTGGCTAGCGCCAATCCGGGAGACGAGGCGGCAAGTGATCCCGCTTCCTCTGAGGCCGGTGGGGTTGGATCCTTGAGCGTTAGCTTGCCTGGCCAATCTTCTGCAACAAATTCTTCATCTTCTTCAGAGATGATTCCCGAGCCCATGGAAGTCGAGGGTGCAAACCAAGTTGTGGAGGAGTTAGCAGAAGAGGTTGTGTCGGCTGAGGGGGGACTCCCCACAGGCCACTTCGAGGAAGAAGGCTTCAACGATGTGCCCCAAGATTGGGATGAGATCTTTGAGGAGACCTGGCAGATCGAGGGTGTCCTTCAGGAAGCCGGGAGGAGGAAGTATGAGGAAGGGCCGCCTGTTCTTGATGATGAGGCGCTCGCTGCCTTAGACGCCGAGATGGACGAGGTGGAAATTCAGAGGCTCTTGGGCATGAAAGTCCTTGAGGAGATTGGCCCCGACGAGGATGTGAGTGACATGTACCGCCTTGGTTGCAAAAATGTCAGAGATTGGAGGTTCCGTGGAGGATGGACGCGAAGGTCGCGACTTGTGGCGAAGGAGTTCCGCTTCCTTCAACCATACATGGAAAATCTCTATAGCCCGGCATCATTGAGTTCCACCCAAAGGCTGTTGGCAGGACTTTGCTGTTGTAATCCTCAGCTTCGTTTGTACAGTGGTGACATCAAAGATGCGTACCTCACGGTGAAGCAGCGAAGGAAAACCTACATTGTCAGCAGCAGTGGACGTATGTACAGGCTGCACTACAACTTGCCGGGACAGCGGGCAGGTGCTAGAGACTGGCATGAGAAATTGAAGGCTGTGCTTGAGAGTGACGGCCTGCGTGCGTTCGAAGGTGCCCCAGCTCTTTTCTATGAACCTCAGAGCCTGCTCGTTTCCACTCACGTCGATGACCTTCAGATGCTAGGACTATTGATGCTCGAGTGCAGCGCCTGATCCAGAAGATCGATGAGGCAGACCTCCAGTTTCGGTGTCGAGGGGCCGTGTACGCCTTGGTCCGGAGAGTGTCGCTTCTTGAAGCGAAAGTTCGCAGGGATCAACGGGAGTATCGTCATAGAGCAAGATGGTAAGCACGTCGAGAAGTTGATCAGCTTGGTTGGTGTCGAGAGGGAGTCGGGGAAACAAACACCATGCCCTATGAACCCCAACGATGTGAAGTCCGTTAAGCCCTTGGCAGCCGAGAAGCACCCGACCTACCGCACGTGCATAGGGATCCTTCTTTATCTTGGCCCCGACAGACCTGAGTGCCTCTATGCGATCAAGTTGCTCTCTGCAAAGACCTCCTGCCCTACCGAACATGAGTGGCATCTCTTGAAACACCTTGTCAAGTATCTCAAGTTGCACCCCCATCGTGGTATTTCGTTGAGTGCTTGCAATCCTGGCAGGACAGTGGAGCAACGGTGGCTTGGACATCCTGGTCCTGAGCGAGGCCCGGATGCTGATGCGTCAAAACCTTTTGGGAGTGGACATCTGATCGAGTCCATCTCTGATGCCTCGTGGGCTGGTGAAGCAGATCGTCGTAGCATAAGTGCTTCGGTGGTGTACCTGAATGGCAATGCAATCCATGTTGGCAACAAGAGGCAGAAGAGTATCTCGCTTTCTTCTTGCGAGAGCGAGGTGCACGGAAGTTTGTACTCCATTCAAGAAGGGCTTTTTCTCAAGAGGCTCTTGGAGACAGTGTGTGACAACAGCGTGCACCTTGTTCACAGAGTAGATTCCTCTTCGTGTCGTTCGTTCATTGATCGCGTTGGCCTTGGAAGGTTGAAGCACATTGACATAGCATACTTGTGGGTACAGGATCTCAAAGCTCGCAACATGTTCACATTAAAGCCTATCTCAACGCGGTTCTGTCCACCAGACTTGGCCACGAAGCCGATGAGTGGGTTGCGTTCCAGAATGCTGTCCTACCTCATAGGTGTTTGCCAATCAGATGGTACCCTCATCGGTGGGGAAGAGTTCGATGACGAGTGGAACAGAGAACATCTGCGCCGAATCCGCGGCACGAAAGAGGGTGTCCTTGCACCTTCTAAAGCGTATGTGGCCAGGAGAGTCTTGGCGTTGTTGCTTGCGAGTGAGGGTTTGAGCTTTGCTGATGGAGCCTCTTTTCTCCCTCGAGATCCGAACATCCCTTTCATGATGACCTTCTGGCGCTTTGGCTTCATGATGGTGATCCCCGTGGTGCTGGCCGTGCTCTTTGTCAACACGGAGGCTTACTTCAAGGGCTACTACAAGTCAAGTGGTGAACCCAACGTCGAGGAGGCGATCGTTGACAAGCTCAAGGTGACGAGGCGCTTGGAGGAGACCGTCGAGTACCACGAGAACACCGTCGAGACGAATTTCTTGGAGAACGCCTTCTACATCATGGCGTTCTTTGCTGGTGTGATTGGTTGGCTTGCTTTCCAGCTCGGCTTGCGTTGGAGTCAACATGGAGAACAACACGGAGAACAACATGGACAACGACGTGGCGATGGACTTCAAGCTCCTCTACTTCATCATGATGATCCAGATGTACCTCCTGGTGACGCTCCTGCTCTACCTGAACAAGAAGATCAAGGCGAAACCCTTCGTGAAGGACCTCCCGAAGTTCTACAAGGTGCTGTACGTGACCCAGGTGTTGGAGCTCAAGGTGGCGATTCTCCGGATGAAGGAGGAGAACAGGCTGCCTTTGACGAAGCTTACGAGGAGGAGACTCCGAGGCCAGTGCGACTTCACCGACTTTTCAAGTCGCATGGCGTGGAGTACTCTGCTGACTTGCTCTGGCACTGGGAGACGCACCGTGAAGTTTCCGAGAAGTTCCTCGCAGAGTTCGAGAACCGTGGCACGGCAGCTTCGTCGGCTGGTGACCAAGTTCGTGGAGAACCCGGTGCTGCAGCCGCTGCTCGCGTACGTGACGAAGAAGTGTGGTTGGTCGGTCGCGGCTCGGCTTTCCACAAAGAAAGCTGCGGCATGGTGCGTAAAGGACGTCGCGAAGGCAAGACCCGCACTCTGAGTCGTGAGACTGCCGTGTCCCAAGGTTACAAGAGTTGTGGTCAGTGCAAGCCGTGAGTAGTTTTGCAGACTTTGTGCTGTGTTGAAGTTCTTTCTTGAAACCTGAGCAGCTGGCGAAAGAAGCCAGTGTTGAGAGCAGTGCTAGAGGCGCTGCTGTCGAAAGCTTGTGGTTTTCAGAGGTCTCAAAGAGATCACTGAAAAAGGGGGGTAACAACCTTTTACGGTAGCCAGAGACCCCTGTTTTACCTTGTGAGCTGTGTTTGCTAACAAGCAAGCAGAACGTTCGTGCACAACCGACTGAAGGCTCAAGGTTGCACAAAAGAGAGACCGCAAGTTTTGGTTTGGGTTTTTAGAAGAGCTATGGGTAAAGATGGAGACGGTTCTGCAACAGGCTCTTCTTCATGGAGTCTGTCGCCTGATGGTGAATCTGTCCTAGGAGCTGGGCATTCGTTTGACTCAAGTGGTTTTACCTCCATCCCATTGTCAGCTCCTGGAACTGGAGAATCTTTATCCACTGGAGGTTTGGAAACATACCTGCTATCCTTCAGTAGGTTTTTAAAACCCTTGGGAGTCTTTATCTTTCCTTTTGGAAGCTCAGGTCTCTCGTCGAAAGGACGTTCGGATGATTTCCGAAACTTCAGGAAGTCGATCCTTGGATCCTGATGAAGGTGCCGATGGTTCGGCAGGTTCAGGAACAGCATCTGAAGGTTCTGATGGTTCTGATGCTCTACTAGTTGGTTCCGGAGGGTCGAGCGGAACGGCTCTCAAGACGAAACTTAGGTAGGTACTTCCTTGTGGAAGTGAAGCTAAGAAGATCCAATACCAGATGATTGTTGGTACTTATTGGAAGAGAAGTCTTATCTTATGAAGGCCAAAAGCCTCGTACGTTGCAAGGTCTGCTGTTGGACTGCACTCAAGAGTCATCCGAAGATTTCTCATCTGTTCAATGGAGAACAAGATAGGAACTCTACCCTCTGGTCGAGCACTGCAATAGTTGTGTCTCTGTTGTGTTGAACCAGAGAGTCCGAGCTGTCTCACTATCTGCAAAAAAGAACTTCGTATTCAAAGGTGAGAATGTAAACTCAATCATGCCTGGGGCATGTTGCTTAACGGCCTTGATAAGCCGGTTTTCCGCATAACGGGATGCCAGGGCCCTTGTACAACCTGAGTCAAGTCTGACAAAGGTAGGGCTTCCGGTTTCCACACCTGGCCCTTGACTGTTGGATGATGTCGAGGGCTCGTAACTCCCTGAGGCCCTGAGGAGTTGTACACAGGTTCATGGTGCGCGCTCGGATCTGTGCCTCTTCCATGTGATCCTTTTCTTGTTCTTCTCTTCTTTTTCCGTGCTTTTCTTTTCGAGGCATTCGTAGAGTAAGTGTATGATGTGTGTTCATCATAAACGGCATAATTTCAGCCTGAGTCAGTAAGTAACCGGGAACCGAAGGTTCCCCGGTTCGGAAAGAAGGCCCGTAAGCTAGGTCCCTGGTAGCCCTCCGGCTACGGAGATCAGCTAGCCGAAGGCTAGAGGTTTTCTCCTTGCTACAGGGACTTCCGCCACATCGCTAAAAAGAAGGAAGTGTCCGTGCTAGTTGTGTGAGCCCGTGAGCCCAAGCTAGGCTTGGCTAGTACCACGTCTCCCGGTAGGTGCTAAAGGGGAGGTGGTGGGAAGGATATGCTAGCTAGTGTACGCACTCGTGCCGAGGGGCACGAGGTACGACCGTGTATGCTAGCGCTCTATATCCTCTTTGTGAAACATCGAAGGTGTTACCGCTACGAAACGTCGAAGGTGTTTTCGCTAACAGCAAACAGGACTCGTCGTTGTTGTTTGCTAAGTGGGGTGCGCATGGCAACGTCGCTATATCCGTGGCCATTGTGCTGCAGAGCCCCCACAGCTAGTGGGGGGCAAATTTGAAGTGCCCACCCATCCCACCCCGGACATCAGCTAGCCGAAGGTTAGAGGTTTCTCCGGGCTACAGGGACTTCTGCCACATCGCTAAAAAGAAGGAAGTGTCCGTGCTAGTTGTGTGAGCCCGTGAGCCCAAGCTAGGCTTGGCTAGTACCACGTCTCCCGGTAGGTGCTAAAGGGGAGGTGGTGGGAAGGATATGCTAGCTCTTCTGGGTGATGATCCTGTGCAGTGTGTGAGCTGAAAAGAGTGTCTGCCTGCGAGCGCTGTGTGATCGTCTGGCAAAGCTACACCTATAGATTCCGACAGCCGCACAGATCTGTCGACAGAAAAACGTAAGTGCAGCTACGAAGTTCCTGCCTGCGAGAGAGAGAGAGAGAGAGAGAGAGAGAGAGAGAGAGAGAGAGAGAGAGACCGCGAGAGAGTCTTGTGCTTTCTGATTTGTGTGGTCCCCACCCATGCAGACATGCAAGACACCGGTGGCCGGGTGTCGGGACTGAAGTGCCATACGTTCCTGCTTCGGGCCAACCCACTTCGGTGGATGACAGCAGAGCACATGGGCTAAGGCGTCTGCTGGGCAGGATCCTGTACTCACCCGTGTCGACGACCCTCTCCCCCTGACCGTGCGGCCGGCGGTCACATAGGCATAGGGGTGCATGCTTGCCGAGCGGGGACAGCGCCAGTGCTCTGGCGCCCAGTTGGGGTGGAAGGGCGAGGGCTGCACAGTGTTCAGATTGCAGGGGAGGCCCTTTGCATGACATTGTAGTTGTGGCATGATGCGGTTGTTTTCACTGTTTCGTGTGTCTGTTTCGGCCCCGCGTTGTGGGAAACACATGGACACGAAGGAAAACAACGGCACTTTGTGCCGGTAACCTCGGTTTAAAATCTATGCAAACAGAGTGCAATTCATAGATTTTAGGTGTATAAATTACACTTTTTAGGTGTATAAATTACACCCCAGGGGTGTAATGTACACGCCAAAATCTACACGCAAAAGTGTAATTTTTCAGCACAAATTTACAGTACAAAAGCGTGTAAAAAAATAAAAAATGTAAAATGTAAATTTACACGCGAAAGATCTATCAGGTACGTGTTTCATAAAGAAGCAGGATTTACTTTGTGTCCAGTATGAGCTTGTCTCCGGATGAGTTTTCACGGAATGTTCTCATAACAATGATTTGATAAGTTTGAGATTTGTATATACATGCTTTTTCTTGCAATCTCGAACACTGAAACCCTAGAGGCCTAGAGTCCCTAAGCCTAACCGCCTAACCCCAGCGCCCCGGCTCAAACAATGGCTCAAGTTTTGGCTCCAAGCGGACTCGAGCATCCGAGCGAGAAAAATGGCCCTGGTACCAGTAACCCCGCTAACACGCCCTTTCTTCGAAGGCCATTCTTGACCCACATGGGCCAAAACAAGCATTTCACGGCTCCGAGAGCCAAGGTCCTGGGTGGAGTGTGGGTGACAAGCCCAGAACCAGGGGAAAGCTGTGCTCAAACTCAGAAGCTCCATCATAGCAGCTTCAATCCAACGCTTTTGCAGTGTGCCCCCATGTTTCAACACAGCGTGCAGCCACTTTTCCGCCTGGCTTCGACTAGACCTCCTGTGTCTCACCATGCGTGTGCATTTGCGGTACCCCAGTGTCGCTTGATGCAAGACCCTCTTTGCCAATCGGTTTTCGTAAACCCTTGTAGTCAGCTCCGTCACCCTGCACCACAGCCCCTCTCGCTCGAAGGCAGAGCAGGCGAGCAGTAGGTTGTCCCACGGCCCATTCGAAGTGTCCCTGTGCGGCGGTTGTTTGAGGTCCCTGAAGAATGCGAGACAAGAAAAGGGTCGCCCCGGAAAAGCCGATGCCATCACCCTTGCCAGCAGCTCACTGCTCCAGCGTTAGTCCAGCGTGTTCTTGCGGAGGCCCACCTTTCCTTCCCGCACGTAGCCTCCTGTGGTGAAGGATCTCTATCCCTCCACGTAGGTCTCCGGCTGCCTTATGCGAGCTTCATCCGGGAGGAGTGTCGAGAGGTTGAGCAGCCCAGTCTCCGTGATGTAACCTTTTCGAAGAGCTTCCAGCGCTAGCAGCTCGGCCTCCCCTGGTCTGCCCTTCATGCCAGAGGCAAAGGCGGCAGATGGTTCGAAGCGAAAGATCAGCTCTCCCGTATCCGTGGTTTCCAGGTCGCCGTTCATCGCGGTGTCGTCAATGGCCTCTGGCTCTAGAGATGGTGCTCCCCTTCCGAAGGCCATAGAGTCAGAAGCGGCAAAGTCCTCTATGATGGATTTGGCCACCCAGCTGCACATGTTGGCTGGCCAGCGCTCCGTTCCAGTCGTGGCGAAAGGGTTTCCCACGCGAGCCTTCATAGAGCCTGCGGTCGCATGCCGATGCAGCGGCCCAGTGTAGAAGCCGTGGTGATCGAAGGACGGCAGGCCCGTTTGCATGCAATGGCAGGCATGCACGCGCTGTTGTTCGAAGGCTGCCACAGAGATCGCGGCACCAGGAAGGGTACGCTCAACAATGCTGTGCGAGTCTGATTACGCGCTCGCCAATGGCCCACACATGCAGCACGAAAAGGGTGTACCAATGCCCAGCCGCGACCAAAACAGGCGCTAGCTGCTCCAGTGCCAACCTCCGATCCACCATAAGTAAGTCCGCCTCCGGCGTGGAGAGGAGCATGGAGAGGGTTTCGCATGTGTCCGGCGGCGCTGCTGCAAATCCTTCATCGTGGTTGGCGGCTTCCAGGTAACCAATAAAGCCCCGAGCATGTACGTCGGGGCGTGCCTTGGCATGCAGGAGCACCCTCACACATGGTGCAGCGCGAAGCGCAGTGGCGCGCCAAAGAGGGGGCGGTTCGACATAGGTGTGAGCGTTGGGATCGGCACGCCACTCAAGCTGCAGTAGCGACATATAGCGGGGGGGTGGTTGCCCATCCTGTAGTTAGGTGACATTCGGGCCCGTAGTAGTACCGCCAATGGACCGGTGTCCGATCTGATCGCCCACGCCAGCGGATGGTCATGGTTCCAGGTAACAACCGGCGATCCCCACACGGCTGCTTCACGAACCCTTGTCACATCCGGAAGCCTGGACAAGAGCTGAGCTGCCATCCCATATTCCATGTGCAGGAAAAGCTCCTTGAGGCTGCGGCCCCTAATCGGCCATCGGTCAGGTTGTCCCGCAACAACCACCACGTCAGCCCCAAACCCAAGCGTCTCGAGCCCGAAGAGGGGGACGTGGAAAATCGCTTCTAGGCCGTAATCCTCCTCCTGATGCTCGGGGTCGAAGAGGCCGATCGGTTTCACTTTCTGCTTGTCGGCTGGACCTCCTCATGTTTTCCTGCATGTGCGATATTGCTTGATCGGCGAAGGGGCTGGAGCCTCACTGGGCTCCGAGAAGTACGAGAAGCCGTGGCACCTGTGTCGGAGAGCTTGTCAGGGACGGCGCCATCCAAGTCGTATAACATTTCGTGATGCCTAAACATTGTTTTCGCAGCATCCACCGGCCAACCCAGATTGGGTTCCAACGCATGTCAATTTGAACCAGTATGATTCGATGCATTCTGTTTGGGGTCTTCGCTGTTGTAATTCAAAAATGGTTGTTCCAAGCTTGTCAAAAGTACATGTGTGTCGTTGTGCAGTGTACGTACAAGAACTGGGGCGCCACTGTCAGATGGACATCTCTGCAACACGAACACAACGTTCTAATTGGGAATCAAGGCTCAGTACTGATCAGTTTCGCAAAGATGCGGCGGTGGATATTAGAGCTATGAGAACAACGCCGTGGGATTGCTTGCAAGCCACGAGCATACATGGGATTGCTTCCAGAACATGTCAGTACTTTAACAAGTGCACCGCTTCAAACGCAACTCTGTGGCTCAAAAAACAGTCCTCGGACCCGGGTGTTTGCCAACGGCTAAGGCACATTGCTTCGGTTGTTGCATCCTGAGCCAACGAGCCATTTCCCGACTGCACCGACCGTTGCTGGATCAACGTGCTTGCAAGAATCAAGGGGTCGAGTGCGAGCGAAGCCAACCGCCACCCGTTTCGCCGTGCAACTTATCAACACAACAACCACTACGAGAAGCTCGTGTGAGGGTGCGCCAACAACCTCATCGGTTACCGATCCTCGCGCGCAACTTATTTTGATGTGACAATGCGCAATATTTTCTTTTCGGCCTCTGAGAAGACTAAACACGGTGCAACAAAAATGCCTCCGTTATATCTTCAAAACCGAATCTTCCTACTACCATAAACCAGTATACGGCTGGTTTGGCTGATCTCGCATTGCAATCTCGCAAAGTCCTTCCCCCCTTTATGCGTTCAAAAGCGGCTCACCTTGCTTGGGAATGGATCATCTCCGCTAAAATGAGCCCGCCAAACCGTTCATACCTTGGCTTTGACTTTTCCTGTTTATTCCAGTCCCACGACTAATTACTCAGATTCGCGAAGTGCATTCCTAGCAATATTTCGAATGGATGGACAACACCCTATTGTGTCGCCTAATCTCTGCTGTTGCCAAAGATAGAGCCTCATGGGTAAGGTCAGGGTTGTAAACAAACCAAGCCGCAAGCCACTGAGCGCCTCGGAAAATTCATTGCTGACGGGTCCGTTTTGGCTGGACCCTGCACTTGCGCAAATACAACACAAGAAGTAAACTGAACTCCACGGTGCGGTTGAAAAGGATTAAATTGCATTTGCTGTGATTTTCAAGAAGCTGCAGGGTAAGTTGTCCAGGACCGTCGATCGGAGCTGGATCGAAAACAAAATAGTCACAGGAGTCTTGGTTTTCCCTGCTGTGGCGCAGCGGCACAGAGAGGGGCTCAAGACTATGTCCGGTTTCCGAGCCGCCAAGTGATGTCAACGAAGTGGCTGGGATTGCAATGCACTGAAACTTTGTAACCGAGATAGTGATGTCATGAGTCATGATCCTTACCCACTGCTGAAGTTTCAATGAAGGTGCACTGCCCTCGCTGTCGGAATCTCACTGCCGGCATGGACATGAGTGTGTCTTGCGACAACCCGAGAAGCGACACGTCGGTTGCCAAAGGTGCTGGTTGGGGCCCATGCATTAATCTTCGAGAATTCCGCGGCCAGCCTTGCTGTAATGTCCGATGTCGCTTGCTGCAATTGGGGGTTGGCACGGCCACCATTATGTTTGACAGGACATCCAAGTCTTCACTGCGAATAAATGCGCGGACATCGTGGATAAGGCATGTCACGCGAGTGCACGAGCGCAGTGGTGCCGGTTGGAGTGCAAATCGTGCCAGGCCAACACGTCTGGCCATGTGACAGAAGAATCCAGTGTGTCAGTTTGCCGCAAGCATTGGCAAAGTCTGCGCCTTGTCATCGCCGGTCCTTAGGCTTGGGTAGTTTGACGGACAAGCAGTCCATGAGCAATGACTGAGGTAAAGAAACATGCGGCCTTCTTGGCGAGATGCTGGCTCTGGCGGGACTTTCTGCAAATGCTGGGTGCATGCGATTCTTCCACTTGATGGTGCTTTGAACAGGCGCAGATGCGGGATGATTTCAACAAGTCCAGTTTTTGCGAGACGATGAGCTCTGCTCACGCATGCTCTGCGGCCATGGTGCGCTCAACTCTGCTTTGTGTTGTCTTTGCTGTTTTCCAACACTGTGGGCTTATTGCACGGGCTTGAATTGCGGAGGAGGATTTTCTGTCCTCGGACACCGTGGCTGACCTTGCCTTTGGCCACTGCCTGCAGCGGCCTTTGAGAGTGTTACCACGTGCCTCAGCCCGAAATGCCGCTTGAGAATGAGGCGAAGCCACCGGTTGAGGCGAGGCCCCTGCGCGGCTGCCTCCCATCTTGAGGGTCTTAGTGTGGTTCAGAACGCCGGGGCTTTAGGCAAGTTGCCTCAACATGATTAAAAATTGAGTGGCTTCGCTGGGATCAGGCAAGCAAAGACGGATGCTACGGTGGGCAGCTATTGCCAGCCTGGGTCTTGTGCTTCCGCTTGCTGTTGCCATGATTTTGTTGGCAACAGGTTAGCAGTGACGCAGAAAAGCCATTTGTCGCTAGTCGAGACAAGGGGGAGGAATAGGTTCTGCTAGACATGAGCCCCGCAAGGGCAGATCGAGGCTGTCGTGTGAGAGCTGCACGTGAGAACGTTGTGCCTTGTACCACAAGTCCGTGCGAAGACGTCCGTGCTTTGTGCGTGGAAGACAGAAACTCCTCAAGTTCATGTGCTTGAGGCGCTTTCAAGGTGTTCTCAGTGCAGCGGTGAAAGCATCTGACACCATTGACAGGCTTCGCAGGAGCCCCGGCACAAGTCTGCATTGACAGTATTGGCCAGCGCAGCAATGCCACAGCGGAAACCCCGTCAAGCTCGAACGTCGGAGCGAAGGTGAGTGCTACATGATGGAGCTGGAGCAGAAATCACACAAGTCGGGAGCCTGGGCTTCCTGGGCGGTTCAAAAAGGTTGAAGCTTCCTGCTTCCTGTCAGCGTGTCAGCATCTGCCTCAGGTCATCCACGGCACAAGGTGTCGCGACCAAGGCAGGCCTCCTGTCGAGCGAGTGCCTTCTCTGCCTCCTCCTTCGTTTTGAGGGAACGCAGATCCCGCAACAAGTTCCGGCTCCCCAGTCGCAGGCGGGTGCGCCTCCATCTGGAGAGCCAAGCATGTCTTGGCTCCATGTTTAGTCATTAGTACGTTCGCTGTAATGGAGCAGGATGGTGCCAGTGCTATTGTGCTGGAAGAATTTGTCGATGCCAGACATGGAGACATGGCTTTTGGCTGCTCCGTCGGCAGGTGCAGCAGCTTCCAGCTGTGCAGCCCCAGGTGCGGCATTGTCCGTCGAGCTCATTTCTTCGTTCTATGCATCCGCAACTGTTGGCAACAACTCGTACTTTTTCCAATGCTTTACATTCTCGCGCGCAAACTGATGCAGTAGCAACAATGCTTTGCCAACTGCTGCCAGCAAACCGTACTGCTTCCATACAACTGTTGGTCACAAGCCGTACTTTGAGCGATGCTGTTCATTCGAGCACAAACTATCGACAACAAATCGTACTTCTTCCAATGCTGTACACTCTAGCACAAACTGTTGGCGATGCGCTGTACTTCTGGCAGTGACACGATTGATTACAAGTCGAACTTGCTCCAATGCTTTACACTCGATCAACTTTCGTCCGATACCTAGAAGCTGCATTGGAGCAGGAGGGTGCCAAGACCCGAACGGCTGATATCCCAGTGCTATTGTGCCGGAAGATTTTGTTGGGACTGTGCCAGAGATGGTTTTCAATAGCTTCGTCTGCAGGTGCAGCAGATTCCAGCTGCGCGGCCTCAGGTGCAACATTGTCCGGAGAAATCATCTCTTTGTTCTACGCGTCCGTCCGGTAGATCGAGGCTTCAATGAAGCAGGAGGGTGCCAAGACCCAAGCGGCCGATGTCCCAGCGCTATTGTGCTGGAAGATCTTGTTGGGAGTTGGGACTGTGCCAGACATTGCGCTTAATTCCGTTTAATTGCTTCGTCTGCAGGTGCAGAAGATTCCAGCTGCACAGCCTCAGGTGCGACGAGAAATCATCTCTTCGCTCTATGTGTCCGTCCGGTAGATCGAGGCTTCAATGGAGCAGGAGGGTGCCAAGACCCAAGCGGCCGATGTCCCAGCGCTATTGTGCTGGAAGATTTTGTTGGGACTGTGCCAGACATTGCGCTTAATTCCGTTTAATTGCTTCGTCTGCAGGTGCAGCAGATTCCAGCTGCACAGCCTCAGGTGCGGCATTGTGAATTGTGCGGGTTTCTGGTGTAGCTGACGAGGCTGCCAGGGTTGATTCGCAGGTGCAGCATCAGGTTCCATTAGCGCACCTGCAGGCCGAACTGCGGCGAATTGCACTGTCTCCTTAGCCTCAGCTCGACGAGCTGTGCTTCTCGGCAGGCTGTCAACAGCAAGTCGGTCTCAGTCCCAGCACAAGGTTTTGCGAAGCTGGCGTTTGGGCTTGAGGGAGTTTCTTCAGGTGACCCTGGCGAACCAGACGTTGGGGCTGGATGGCAATGTGTCCGCTCAGGCAGATTTCGTTGGGTAGCTTGCGTCACGGTGTCTGCATGCCAGATCATGCCACAGTGCCGAGAAACAGCTCCTTTCAGTGGCCGCTGCATTTGGTTTCAATGCACGCTCGAAGGGAGCCACAGTTGCTTCTGCCGATCCGGCATCGAGATGGAAAGGATGGAGAGGTTTGCCGAGGAGCTGAAGGAGATGCAAAGGGCCGCACGTGAGCGCCGCCTGGCTCTCATCGCCACAGCGGAGCGCAGCCAAGCCAAAGCCGCCGGCACCTCATGGGCCCCTTCCTGGAGTTCTGAGTGCACTGAGTGCTGGCTGCAGGCAGAACACCAGCACTCTGCCACGGCCGGAGGCACAGTGAACACTACCGATGCTTCTTCGGATCTTCCCTCTGCATGGGGATAGGCACCCTCGGGCTGCCCGGTGCACGACGAAGAGCTGCACGCAGTTCTCAGTGAGATCGAAGAGAATTGGGGGCGCTGCGTCTGGACCCGAGGTAAACTCCACAGATTGTGTATGTGACATGATCAAATGAATCAGGTGGGATTGTACGTTCACGGGTCCACGATCTTCTCCAACAAGGAGCCCAAAGACTTGGAAGCTTGGCTGCAATGGACGAGGCTGGGGTCCGGGAGTGCTGGAGGCTCGTGATGACAACCCGGCCGTCGCTCAGGATTTGCTCGCGATTGTGGACGAAGCAAAGCAGGTCATCGCTTCGGGGTCGAAGGAGCAAAGCGAAGCACGTTTCCGCCGTTGCCGTTTGCAGTGTCTCTGTCTGTCTCTGTGTGTGTGAGAGAGAATCGCTGTTTTTCCAGGAGGCCCAGTTTGTCCTCGGCCGCTGCGAGGTCTCTGTCTACGAACGCTCCTCGGACGAGAGTGTAACAGCTCGCACTCCAACAGCGCGCGACGTCAGCCGCCGAGGCGACTTCTGGCTGAGGAGGCTGGAGGCGATGGACCTGACTATGCTGAGCCCGGGCTTGGATTAGCGGCTGAAGCGTGTGTGGCAGTTCGGCGTGGGGTAAATACCGTTGCCATCAGAAGAGCAGTGCGGCTCAGTCGAGGACCTGCATCTCAACCCCGAAGCGCTTTGTCCTGCTTGAGATCGACGATCCGCGCGTGCGAAACTTGACGCTTCCACTGGACGTCCTTGAGGAGAGCTTCTGTGCAAGAGTGCTTGCCGCATTTGAAGCAGGTGAAAGGTGTCACTTGGCGTGCCTCCCGCGAGGAGTCGGTGGCCTCGTATGCAGAGTACACCTGGCTAAAGGCTCATCGGAGGATGGATGGCAAAGGAAAGGACCAAGGGTGTGGGAAGGAACACATCGCAGAGCCTTTGCAGCCACCGGCTCGCATCTCTGGCCTTCTCGCAAGGACCTCTACTCAGCTGCCAAGAACTGCTACTTTGCCAGGGGGCCCATGGGAGGAAAACCTTGAAAGCGACGGCTTTGCAGCGCTGGAGCGGCGAGGCCTTTCGGATCCTGTGCTTCGGCCAGCAGCTCCTCCAGAAAGGACGGATCACCGACCTCACGGCTGCCAGGGCCACAGATGGCCACAGTGCGAGCGCAGCGTGCGTCGCGGAGTCTTGGCTGCTTCCATTGGGAGGCCAACCCGAAGTACGAAGTGATCCAGTCGGTCTTCGATGCGCTGTCGGTACAGCCTGGCCACTGGCCCACATCGTTTTGTTAGCTCGAAGATCCGAAAGCACAATCTTCCTTTTCTGTCCCGTGGTTTTGAGGCGAATGGGACGTGGTCGAAGCGATTTTCGGCCGGCTCTTCAGATGCGAGCCCCTGCCTCAGCTTGGAGCTCGTCCTCGAGCCTTCCGCGCGTCTCCGTCGTCGGGTAGTTTGAGACTGCGCTGCTCGGTGCCTCTTCAAGTCGAGGTTGGAGAGTTTCGCCGGGAAAATCGTGGCCGCCCGAAACGGTGACGATAAGGCCGAGATTCCGCGAAACCGTTAACTTAGGCGGATGGGGCAGTCGCGAATTCCAGTCTGCAGTAGAACATTGTCCTGGTGGGAGGGAAATTGCAGGGAATTTCCGTGGCTCAATTCTTGCTTGCTGCAAGAAGGTCTGAAAGCTGAGGGGCCTGAACCATCATAGCGGTACAATGCTTAACTTCACATCTGAGGAATGAGACTCGGAGGGATATTTTTGTTGCAGATTTTCTGTTTAGGCATGTTGAGGCGGCGCGTTTCCCTTGTCGGAGGCCGAGGCGGAGGTGCCCGAGGATCCGGAAGCGGTCTGCTGCGCTCTCTGCGATGGAAAGGCAGGGGCTTTAGGGGAGCCGGGAGAGCCGGGAGAGCCGGGAGAGCCGGGAGAGCCGGGAGAGCCGGGAGAGCCGGGAGAGCCGGGAGAGCCAGAACCGGGCAGAGCAGCAGAGCAGTACCACCTTCTCGATGAAGGTCTTTGTCTTTCTTTGGTGTTTCTGATGTTTCCTGATACCTTCGACAGGCGCCACCCCTGCGATGGCCAGAGGCGAGCGCAGAGCCATGGTCAGTCCCCCGGGAGCATCCGAGCATCCGCCGGACTCCACCGGACTCTGCAGGCTTGCCGCTGCGAAAAGGAGCCCAAGGCCAAGGGCCAAGTCAAGGAAGCCTGTGGCTCCCCGGTTTGAGGCCCACTTCGAGCGTCTTGTTTGGTAGCCGGGCTCGTCTTGTTCTGGGCTGCTACCTTGAGAACCCTTTTTTTCTGATGTGACGAGTCTGAGCCTGCGGCAAAAAGAGTCCTTTTGTCTCCCCTTTAGAAACGGGCAGCATTCTGCGACAGGATGCGACTGCGAGCTTCCACGGAGGCAGGCTCCCATCTTGTTGGGACTGATGCAGAGTTTGGGGGGCCTTTATTGCAGGGGGCGTGTTCTAGCAGATGCCGGGCCTCGTCTCGTGCCAACGTAGGAGGCCGACAAACCCGGAAGTCAAGAGGTGTTTGGGGCCCCCGAAGACCGAAGAGCACAGCCCCGCCCAGCCGCCCCACAGCCCAGCCTGGGAAACCTTCGGTTTAGGCGTTCCGGCTGTGGGAGGCGACCGGGACAGGCAACCTGGACATCGATGTCGTCGTGGTGGAGGGCCCGGAGGCGCAGCCACGGCCAACCCAAACTTGTCGAGCCTGAGTCAGTCTGAACGAAAAAGCTGCCCAGGCAGAAGCACCTCCGGAGAGTTCCATCGGGATGCTCGACTGGTATTTTAGCGAGCTTCTTTCTCACGGGAGACTGGGACCTCTCGCGACAGTGTCGCTCTTTCGTCCCGAGATTCCACTGCAAAGCTACACCTCAGTGGCTCAGCCTCAACGCAACACTTCGGCCGGGCTGAGGGTGGCATGGTTGCTGGTTGCTGCCATTCTCGCCATCGCACTGCTCTTTGGACAAGACTGGAGACTGCGGCCTTGTTTTGGTGGAGTTGTGTCGCCGTGCGTTGTGGCTGCGATGCCTTTCAAAGGATCCCCGAGAAGAGATGATGCCGATTCCTGCTGAGCTAAGCATATAGAAGTCCCGCCCCTTTCGACACGATGGAAGCGAGGCTCTCCGGGGTGCTGGCGCGCTTCTACTTCAAGACTAGAGGGCGCAGCCAGGACGGGGAGCACCTAGGTCAGCCGCGTCGGCGCTTGCAGAAGTGTCCAGGATGCTGAAGGTCGAGCTGAAAGGGCGAGGGGCTAGCGGCTAGAGTTCAGACTTGTCTGGAGTTCTCGCTTGCACCATGGCCGGCACAAGATCCCTGCGGCTGCGTCCGGAGGAGTTTGGGATTTGGGATTAAGAGAGGTTGTATCGCAGAGATTCGCACAGCCAGTTCGACCACGTCAGCTGAGAGGTGCAGCTTCCGAAAGCATTGGCTTTGGTCGCTGCAGGAGCCAACAGCAGAATCGAGAGACGTGGACTTTGAACAGCCGGGGCAGCCGGAGAGTCCCCTGGCGCAAGGTTTGCCTGCACTCCTGCGTCAAGCCTCAACAGTGCCTCCGTTGAACAGTCCGCAAGATGAAAAGAGTCAAGCCCAAGCCTCTGATCTCCCAAAGCGGCACTTCAGAGACTTGCAAGGACACTGTCCGGACCTTTCTCCTCGAACAAAAGCCTTCGAAGCATGGCCTTCCCCCGTAAATCCCCCGCCCGCCCACGCGCCCGCGCGCCCGCGCGCCCACGCCACGCAAGGGCTGATCATGCCCACAGCCGGCAAAAGCGGCAAAGCCACGAAGGGCCCGAAAGGGGCCGCCGGCACGGCGGAGGAGACGCCCGTCGAGAAAACCTTTGGGTGCGTAGGATTCTCACGATCTAGACTCTGGACGCGAGTCGTGAGCCGTCTCGCAGGAGACGGCGACCGTTGCTGTGGTCGTGGAGTCCTGCGAGGCCCTTTGCCGGCTGCGCCTGCGGCTGTAGGCTGTAGGGCACTGTAGGGCACTGTAGGGAGGTAGGGAGAGGGAGGGGCTCCGCTCTTCGCTCGGCTTGGAGGACACGGAAAGTCTGGAGCTCAAGGAGGCCCGGACCTCGGCAGCGGCGACGCGGAAGCGTGCTTTAGTGGATGCTTTACTGGATGCTTCTGGTCTCGAGGTCTTGGGGCTGGGATTTGAGGTGGAGACGTCTCCACAAGCGATCGCGATCATTGGATGCGCTGACCCCCTCGCAAAGCAGACCCAGGCCCTCGACGCCCTCGACGAGCTGGGCATTGACTTCGTGGAGGACACTCGACGCAGGATCTGAAGGTAGCGAAACGCCATGCGATGTCCGGCAAGGCTCAAACAGCTTGGCAGTTCACTTCAACTCGCAGGATGATGAGCAGTCGGAGCAGTCTGAGAGACTTCGTGAAGCAGAGCTCTCAGGGCACCCTTCCGGCAGCTCTCCACAGCCCAGAACCTTTCGAGCATTCGGTGCAGTTCTAGAATCTGCACTGTCCGTCCTGCATTTGCCAGGACCCGCTGGCTCACAGTGTCAGCATCTCTCCACCTTTTTCGCTAGAGTCTGTTGAGCCCTTTCTCTGGGCTTTCCGATGCTACTCGTGGCGAACGGACATCTGTAATCATTCAGGCGCTTGCTGCCGCTGGCATTGAAGTCTTGGAGGTGGGCCGACCCTGGTCCAGAACGGGAAGCCATGCAGTAGCAAACGAACACGAGTTCATGCTCAAGCCTGTTGTACGCATTGGACAGTGGCTGCTAGAATCTTTCTGTAGACTTCGAGCTTCGGATGCGATAGCACCGTTTCCAAGCTGGCCAGGACGACGACCAGTCAGCATGGGCCCCGGCACAGACGGAGATTGAGCTTGGATTGTAGATGCCTGCTGTCTCTCAGCTTGTAAGGTGATCTGTCTTATCGTGTGACATATCGTTCCTTATCAATCCCAAAATACTTATAGGAGGGTTTCTTCAAGCATCTGAGGCCGGCATCGAGTTCAAGGCCAGGGCCGGGGGTCCACCGAACTCAGCGGAAGTTCCGCATCGCAGGGGCTTTAGGGCCCTTTAGGGGCGCCCTGCCACGGCAGGGGCTTTTCTGCTTCCGCACTCTCAGGACTCGGAGTTGGCTATCGAGGATGCTTCTCGGCCCTTTTGGGAAGCTGACTGACATTTGGGCTGGGTCCGTGATGCTCCTTGAGTCTTTGATTCTTGGTTTGAACCCACTGTTTGTCCTGGGTCCGTGTTTGTTCCCTGCCCCAAGCCCATGATCATCCATGATCTCACGAAGGCCCTTGCAGCGGCCGGCATTGATTTCGAGGAGGTCTGGTGCACAGCCGCAGAGCGTGGCACAGCATAGCATGGCCTAGCATGGCCTAGCCCTGTCTAAACAGCACAGGATGAAGACCTGGCCGGGGCCTTGGACCGGAGCTCACAGACTGCTTCTCCTTCGCTGTCCGTAGGCGAGTCCTTTGTCTGGTCGTTTCAACGCAGTGTGGACCTCCGTAACGAGCAGAGCAGTCAGAGCAGTCCACCGGTCCAGCGCATCAAGCTGGACTGCATCTAGCAGTCTTGCCCATGCAATACCTAGAGCGACAAGTAGCCCAAGGTTGTGGCCCGCGAGCGTGGCTCGGACGCATTAACGGAGCTGCACAGACAAGGACTCGATGGTTTGGGCCAAGGTGAGCCTGCTCGGGAAGATCTGAAGCAGGAAGAGGCCAAGTGGACATCCTGTGCTCAAGAAGTACATGCGGGTTTGATCAAGAACTTCTCTTTGCTTAAGTTGCACGACACTAGCTCATTACCTGGTCCACAAGTTTGCTGACAAGCTCCGTATGAGTACCACACGCAGACGCCGTGGGCCTGGGCTTCCTCCAAGACTTCTGGGCTTTTCTTTGCCTGTCATCACAAAAAGTCCCTAGTGAGGATTCCCAGGAGCAAATCCTTTGCAAGCTCCTGTGGCTAGCTGCCAGCAAGGCTCCTTAACTTGCGCTCACCTTCAATCGTTTGAGGCACGCTTTCCAAGTCTTGCATCCATGTATCTCAGTCATCTCCTCTCGTGCTTTGAGGGGAGAGAGAAAGAGAGAGAGAGAGAGAGAGATCGGGGGGGCCCACAGGGCCGGGGGGCCTCAACCGCCCTCCATGCCCCGGGGAAGAAGAGAGAGAGAGAGAGAGAGAGAGTGTGTGTGTGTGTGTGTGTGAACCTCCCTAGCACATGGGAGCAGAGGGTCACTCCTACACTGTTTGCAATTTCGCTTTTCAACATAATCCGACATTGGACATTTACCAAATCAACTGTTGCAGGGGGATCAGGCTTCCAGTGACTGACCTGATCCAACGAAGCTAGGTCACTGGAAGGGAAGTGATTGAGGACGCTGTGGTGCCAAGATTAGTTTGAGGACAGGCCCCCTGTGGTGTCCAGATTAGACAAACAATTTGTACGGTTGCCGCAATCTGACAAGCTTTTGCAACAACAATAACATGCCTCTCTTTTTCCTCTTGCACTCGTACTCTTGGCCGAATCCATCAGTGTGATCAGCGTGGGTCGTTGAGACTCCAGAGCAACGGCTTTCCGTCATGGCGCCGTGGTGACCCTCCGGGGAGACCGGTGATGAACCGGGTGTTCAGCCTTCGTTCAGATCGTTCAGATTCTCCCGATGCTATTTTATCTCTCTCTCTCTGATGCTCGCATGTGCGTCTGACATGAGTACAGGTGCAGTAACCGACGTCTAATGCAGTAACCGGCTGCTAATGCACAGGCTTACCTCGCTATTCTGTCCTCTATTCGATCGCTTCTTTATTCCTCAGGGACCGCAAGGGCATGTGCACCTGACATGAGGGCAGACGTGGTAACAGTGTCTAATGCAAGTGAAGCAGCGCTTCCTCCGGGAAGTAATCGGCCCTCTTCTTTCTCTCCATCTACGACCTCTCAAATCCGTCCAGCAGGGACAACCAGGACAGCCTGCACTTTGCTTGTGCAACTGTGTTTGTTTCACCAACTTCGTTGCAGCTATGTGGCCGGACTATTTTACCACGCAGCCACCAGCAACACCATACGCACCAACAACCCGACCGGTGCTCAATCAATTTCACCCGAACACCTGGGTACCGCAGTCACAAGGATACCCAGCAATGATGCCAACTGGCATTGCTGCCACTCAGCAGCACACACTGCCGACGCAACCCACTACGATCCCTGTTGAGCAGACGCATAGCTTCCCCATGATGCCGTGTGGACACACTGCTCCTATACCACAGCATCCGACGGTATACACACAACTCAGCACACCACAACCCCAGATGCCCCAACAACCTCCACCCCAGCAATTCATGTCGCAACATCCCCCCACTTTCTTGAACCCTGCTCTTTTACCTACCCATCCAACAGTTTTTCCCACAAGCCCATCACCTCTGACACCGCATCACCCCCAGCCTGCCACTTACAACATTCCTTTTACACCACCTGCTCCACAACCTCAACCTGCACCTTGCAGCATCCCTTCCACACAACCCGCTCAACAATCCCATATACCGCCGCCAACGACCCTCCAACAAGCTTCACAATCTCACCCCACCAATGTTACCACTACCGATGCCACCCACATTGCCCCGCAGACACCGGCAATCACTCCCCAACCCCAGCCAACAAGCACAGCCAACACCCCCTCTGTCAGCACATTGCCACCCACACAACCACCACCGGCTACGGGATCGGGCGACACTGACCAGCTCGCAGCACGTGCTTCTCCCCACCACCCTCCGTTGCCACGCAGGCGACGGCACTCACCCACACGCAGCAGAACCCGCACCGTGAGCACTAGACGCCGACGACGCACACGCAGCAGAGCACGACCTACCAGCAGCGGGAGACAGCACCGCCGACGCAGACACCACCGATCCCGCGACACCCGCAGAAGTCGTTCTCGCAGGGACACCAGGCGATCTTCGTCGACACCTCCGCGGACCTCGGTTGTGCTTCGCAGCTATTCTACAGTGCGTGATGTTGATAGCAACAAGTGGCATTACAGAGCCACACAGTTACGTCAGAGGCCACCCACCCCACCCAAGGTCCCACAAAGGACATTGGCCTCGCAGGTTCAGCGAATCGCCCTCCGCATCAAGGGCAGCCAAGCAGCACAACAGCAGCCCCCAGCCGGACAGGGCACATCATCCCGCCAACAGGTTCAGCACAATCCCTCCAGCTCCGTTCGGACACCTGCCCCGACCTACGATGCATCAACAGCCGCTGCCCCATCGGGTCAGCCAACCCTCGAACAACTGGGCAAACAGAGCAGACCACCACAGCTTGATGTGGCGCCTTTTTCTGAGCTTTACGAACATGAGAAGCCGACCCCTCACGCCGTCGACATGGAAGAAGCACACAAACTCGCCAAAACCTTGGGCGAGATAGCTGCTGACAGCGATTTCAGGCAGGAGACTTTAGCCGAATTTGCACATGCCGTGCTACAGTCAGGCACGCGATCAGCGTGCAACGAACTTGGGGCAGTGCTGACGCCAATATCGGACGGCGTGCATACTATGTTATTCATTCCTTGGGCTGGAGAGCAGCGCAGAGCGTTCGGCACCCGTGCCACTGACCCACCAGGAGAGACATACATCTACACCGCCGGACACGGCACGAGCATTGCCAGTGCCGCGCGCATTATGCGCGAGGACTTGGTCCGCCCAAGTTCAGTCAGACACTGCTTCGACGACAAGTCCTACCCACCCATTCCCTCTTGCGTCATATACGGGAATGCGACCCCAGGAGATGTATCGGAAAGCACGGTACATATAGTAACCGATCAATGTACACGGCGGCCGAAGGGCCAACAGGGAGTGATCGTCATCGGGACAATACGGACTAAGTATCAGCATTACAAGATGACGTATCGGGACATGTATAGAGAAGCCTTCATCGTGGGGCGAAAGGGTGTTGTGCGGACCCCAGAGAAGTGGGGATTCCACTCGGGGCATTTCAGCATCGTTGGATTCGGCCTTATTCAGTGATGTTCTGTATTGCTTTCTTTCTTCTTCCGTGTCTACCTTTCACTCTCGAGTATCCTTTCTCTTCCAGGCCTGAATCCCGTTGCACATAGCTGTATGCAATCAAGCATTTGCTCCGACCCCGCTTTTGAGCCAAAGAAGAGACGATGCAGCTGCATGCTGGATGCATTGCACAAGTAGATGTTGACACTCAGGCCAACTATGTTGTCCATGCACATGCTTTTTGCAGCTTTTGCAGTCACAGGCAATTGTAGTGCCCCATTGTGCAACCATGTACAAGCCGACACAGCCTCAGTGGCATACAACAATGCCAACAGGCATCATCGGTACAGCAATCAGTACGGTGCAGCGACAAACAGCCTCAACCAGCAGCACCCCAATGCACCCGATCTCCCCACCACCAGGGATTCACAACATCCCACCCCACAACTCACCCCTGACCCCAACTACTTGGAGTTCAGCTCACGCTTACAGCCACAACACCACTTTCCCCCCTTTGCCGCCACCCCCTCCCCCACCCCAGCAGTTTTCCGTCCCAACTTCACCCACCACACTGCCAACCCCCACACCTGCCACTCCCCAACACACATTTGTGAGTCCATCTCCGTTGACGACTCAAAACCCCAGCATTTCTTCACATACATTGCCTCAGGCCACCGTCACACCCCAACAACAACAACACACCAATCTCACGCCTGCAAATCCCCAGATACCAAACGACTTCGTTCAAACACCAGAGCATTGGGACAACAGACAGCTTTATGGCCTCAACCTACCCAAACACATTCAATCTACACCACATTCAGTGCACAACCGCACGGCAGGCATGCCGATCGCAACAGCACCATTGGTCGCATTTCTGCGACACAATTGGTCATCATACTGGCTACGTTACGCCGCACACGGCTTCGACATCCATCTCACATGCAGCAAACACATCAGCGAAGCCGTCTTTACCACTGAACTTATGGGTCAACTCCGAGCACGGAGAATTGATCTGGACCAAGCAGCCACCGCATTCTGCTGGCAAGAGAAGCTCACACTCGCAAAACGGCCAGCAATGTCACACCTCATCAAGGAATTGGTGTTATACCTGCAAGAGCTGCAGGACCAGTACAACGACGGCAACAAAAAGGACAAGCAAGATGTCAAATCAGACACAGACAACACACAATCGCAACCCACCGAATCTCCAACACCACCACAATCCAGCAAATCACAACCTCATCTTCCACTTCAATCTTCGCAGCCGACAGAAGCAGACACTCTGGCTGCACACCGCATCAGCGACCTGGAAGCACGACTTTCAACAGCACTGGAGACAATCGAAACTCTCCGTGCTCCAGATGCAAACAAGGAGGCACCCAGCACACCAGCACCAAAGAAACCAAAACGAGCCACCGCACCCAGCACTCCCTTCAACACGCCCTCTCCACCACCTCACTCAATTTCCACAATTGAGATTTCCCCCACCACAACCACTCGCGGACAAAAACGAGCTACCATAGATGACACTACACACACCGACACCAGGCTTACCACTGGTAGCCTCTCCCCTTCCACCACAACTGTTGCAGAACAAGATACCAACGCGTTACATGCTTCCCCAGCATCGTCATCCACCACAGGTATGCATTTTCCGGGACGCTCCCTTCTGGGCGCCAAGCGACAGAAGCAGTCAACTCTCACACCAACGAAGGCGGCACCTCT